AAAAATGAAAGATATACAGAACCCTGGATCTTTGGTAAGATTTATAAGCCTGCTTTTTTTGTATACCTACCATCCCGAGTCATCATTAGTAGTGAGAAACGTGAAATGTTACTGAAAGCAATTTACCGAGAATAACCACTCCTTACTGCCGTAAAAACGAGATTCTTACGCTACTTTATTCTATTTCTTTTGGCAATTCCAAAAGGTCTAATTGCGCTTACCTCAGTTCTTATGACAGGCCGTGGAAAGCATGGTAGAAATTTTAATTTCTTTTCAAGCACAAATCATAATTAACCTGAGTTTTTCTTATATTATTTTTTTATTTAAATAAGAAATTTAATAAGCGGTCGTCTAATGTAAGCAGGTAATCAGAATGTTATTTAGCTACATAAAGGTAATTGAATCCAATTTTTCACTTCATGCAATTTGCACAATAAGTAAAATCTATAAATTAATCATTTACGACCGTTAACAAGGGGACCGTTGTATTGAAATATTCGATAGTCATTTATCACTAGGTTAATTTGCGGCTGTCTGCATTTAACGATATCGCGTCGTTCAAAAAGTCATTAGAACTATCATGGACTATATTATTAAACGCGTCTAACAGTCAAACATTATAGTAAGCAAGTTAAAATTTATCATTCAATTTAGCTAACCTAATTATATTAATTGTAGAAAACTTTTTCAGTCTGTCTACATATAAAAATTTTGCTCGTGTCTTCGTCCGCGTGTGTGGTATTTGTAGTTTATGTATTTTCTAAACAAATTCAAAATACATCCTTATTCCTATTTAAGGATTGTTTTTTTGGTGTTTATAGTTTAAAATCAATATATACATTGTGCAAACAAAGAACTCTTCTTCATACACTGAACTTCATTCTCTATTTTAAACTATCAAAAAGTGTTTTGCCACCCTGTAGTGATGCCACTGTTAATACATACAAGTACCTACCAATATTTTAATGAAAAAGACGAAGTGCAATTTTTCATGAATCTAATTTCAAAAATACCAGAGCTCCGTTATTTTTTTTTTCTCTAATTTAGACCGTTAGACAACTTAACCTGAAAAGAACGGACACACTTCTGTGGCTAAGTTTTGTGGTATACGGAATCTTTTGAACGGTTTGTCGCTATGATTATCGGTGGCTATTACTCGTAGGTACCGTATATTCTTGAAAGAAAGTAAACAAAGTAGTTACCACTGAAATAAACTTTTATAAGTATATATTTATTTCTGTATAGTTACCCAAAAGTGACAGCTTTGTCGTCAACACATTACCACTTATTGAGTTGTATAAAAAGGGAATGATTCATTGTAATATGTCTGACACATTAAGATTGGTGTTATGATATAAATTATATATATAAAGATATATATATATATATATTCAAACTGTATGTTTTCTTGGTTTTTAGGTCCTATTGTTTAATAAATAGATTAAAATTTAATTCATGAAATGCAGTGCTCATAATATATACCGTATTTTTTATAAATATTAAAATCACTTAAATTGCCTAAATCTCAAATTAAGTATTGTGGAAATATGAAACCCGGGACCTCAGTTTTAGCGGCATCTTAAAATTAGCGTAAAAGCCACTCGGCCATGGAAATCGTGGACTGGTTTTATAAAAAAAAAAATATTTTTAAGGAGTTCTAAAGCTAATACTACCTACATAATTTTAAATGTAAACTTTTTAGTGATGTCTATGATCAGTCTTTTAAAACATTTATATGTAAATAACAACTCGTTGCGCTTATTAAAAAAAAAGCGTCTAAGAAACAGAATTTATGAATTATTAAGTACTTATTTCTTACAAACACCAGGAATCAAACAAAAAGAGACTTATAGATAAGTTTATAGAGCGGTGTTCAAGCGGATTTATTTGACCCGTGCCTCAAAAGCTAGTAACAATACCTAATAAATGTGCATGAATGAACGTGTCCAATTATTTCAGATTTGCGCTTTAAAACGTCATTCATAAGTTGTCAGTATTTGTAACAAAACAACAGATGGCGTTATATTATATTTATTACATTTTCCAAAAATGTCCACAAAACACTTTTTTATTTATTTAACAATAGAGGACATCATTTGTTATCATGAGATTCTGTTTTCGTATGAACATAAATATCGAAGCTGAGATCTCTTCCTGTTCCTGAAGGCCCGTCTAGTACCTTGTTTAATGTATTTGCCAGTAATACACAAACAAACACATACCTATAATGTTCTTATAAAGTATCTGATTGTCGTGTACAATGTTTCAACAGATGGTCCGGCTGTAGTTAATATAAATATATTCGTCCGAACTATAACTACGATAAGCGACATAAAAATGGTTAGTATACAACCGCCGGACGTGTCAATGTCTGAACCTTTTATAGAGCTTTTATCGCAACACACATTCGATCGCCCTTCCAGAAGCAGGAAGCATACATTTAAGAAACTATCGGTTTATTTGGATATATTAGATGCATATAAGAAACAAAAAATAAACACATATTAATTCAAAGTACGTAATCATAAAAATCTTAGTTGATTCTTAATGAAAAATGTTTAAAAATTCCAATTGGTCCCTGGCACCCTGAGATGGGATTGGATGGGACAGACTAAGTGGATTTTCTAACCATTATTATTATAATCTTTGTCGATATTATTTTGTATTAATTTTAAAGTTTCTTAAAAATTACACGTCTTTTTCATAATATAATAGCTGGTTTCTGAATTGAGAATAATACAAAAACGGAACAGATTATTCTCAATTATATACCTAAGTTTTTTACGTTTCAAATGTCAAAAAGTCCTAGTTTTATAAATAATAATCATATCAACTCGTTTGATCATTAAAAAACAAAACCCGTTTAAGTATAGTTTAACACATTCTTAATTTTAAATTCTCAATTCAGAAACCGGGTGATAGTATTGCCCATGACGTGAAATTAAGTTATCAAAATGTGAACAACAGGTATTTATTTATAAAATATTCAATAAGATTCAGCTTAAACGAATTGTTATTTCAGTCGATGTGTGAAAATGTGTATGTGAAGACAATAAATAGAAAAAAAAATATGTTTCTTGAAATTGAACTATAAGTATACTTCGACTTTTTCCACAATTTCTCAAATCACTACAAATGATAGACGTGAATAAAAAAAAATTGAAAAAATATTGAAGCTACAGCTATTCGTGTGTTTTTGCTTTTTTGACAAGGCAAATGTTCTTGAATTTATATTTAAATAAATATAAAAAAATATATATTTATATTTGTATAATAGCTTAAGCTTTTGGAAGGTCGAGCGTGTTATAGATTGTTTTACGGTGTTGTAGTTTTTTTGAGATAATGATGAAACAAAGGAACATAATATATATGTATCAATTACGTGTGTGTATGAATTATTATTTTATTTTTTGAAACGTAGTTTAGTTTTGTCCAAAAATCAAGTCTTTCAAGATGAATGTAAAATAAAATAAATAGGAATTTCGTGTCTATTCATAAGTAAAATGGCTTGGGTGCTATAAAAAAGCGATTTGCGATTGACAATTGTAATAATATAGAAACTAAAAATGCATAGTTAACACATATTTTACAGGTATTGGGAATAAATACGCAATATCAGAAAGGACATCTTGAAAGTCTTATGGATAACCACCGTTTACAATCCTGTCAACAAATTTTTGAGTGATCTATAAATTGTTTATCATGAATCATTCATTAATATAAGTATCTTTTGTGTGTTAACACAAATTTTCTTTTCTCTTCTCGTCTTTTTATTTTAAAGTTAATTTAAATGTGAAGAATATTCTTTACACCAAACCGAGTTCGGGCGTAGCGCAATTAAATTTTTTAATGAAACTATGCTTGAAAATATTAAAGATTGTTAAAAGCGATTTTGCTGTTTAAATTTTTTAACTATTCACCATTATCTATGAAAAGTTAGTCACTACAACTGCGAAACTATTTAAAAAATCGATGGTGTGATTGTATGACACGCGACTATCACAAAGTTTCTATCCTTTCATGATCTAAAATTAATAAAGCTAGCCATAAATACGGCACAATAGCTATTGGATGGCGTGATATCAATAGAGTACCTATCTTATATAATTTTTTCATAGCGAATACTATTTATACTGCAGTTAAAAACGTAAGTGAGAATGCTAAAAAACCAACCAGTCATGTACACTTACCAAGTTTTCGTTAGAAAATAGTAATTTCCGGAATTTCTGACTTACGACGTCTCACGGCGATCAACGGCGTGCCCTATTCGAGCTGCCCCGTGAATTTGCAAATGAAAGAACTTTCTTATACGCCACCAAGTTATAATTAAATACTTGTGTTATTATAATGATGGAATACTCTGATTATATGATTTAACAATTTGTACAAGGCGGCTTTTACACAGTTTGGGAAAACAGAATTATAGCGAGTTACCGTTCAATGATTCGAGTGTAGAAACGTGAATAGAGAAATCTGACTATAAAATTAAGCTAGAATGTTATACTTCAATACAAAAACCTCTTTTAATTAGATTAGTTCAGAAATAAGTTTGATTATTGAAAAGTAACTCGGTATAAAAGAAAATAACAAAATCTTTTTGTAATTTTTAAAAGCTTGTACGCCCAATCGTATTGTCTCATTTTATAAAATGGCAATTCTCTTTGGAGTGTTTCATAAAAGGTTATAGCTCCTATACACTAACACAAATTCCCGTTAACAAAGACAGTCAGTCGTTTTATTTTTTCCCAAAGTGTAAATTTCCGTTGTTTCTTTCTATTAATATTTATTTGAAGTGTAACTCATTTTTAAAGACATCCATCTACATACCACACGCACATACTATAATATTAACAGTTTGCTGGACCAAAGGTGAGTCGGTCGTCACATTGTAAGATACAGGTTGAAACAGCGCATATGACGTACTGTAAACACACGACGGTAGGGCATTCCCGTTGGAGTTGGGCAATAATTTAAATCGTATAATTTTGCTTGGTACTTAGATGGGCCAGCGGTAGTGAGCGTCAATATATTTGTCCGAAGTATATCAAAGATCGATGACGTCACAATGGTAAGTTCATACCATAAGGACAGACTGGACCACGTATTTAGAATAAGAAAATTTGTTATTACCTACCTAATTACAAGTAAAATATAAATCGCGTTCAAGTCAAATGAATGGGTAAATCTGTCCTGTTTGCGTTGCGAGGAGAGGTTTGCCCGCAATTATTGTATGTAATGTTATTTCGTTTTATAAATTTGTTCTTTTGATTTTGATTTTTAAAATCTCCAGTTTGGTGTTTGCGACCAAAATCGTTTTTAGCCGTAGCAGCGCTACCTTCTCGCCTCAACCTGGATTACAACCTTCTTAGTGTCGAACTGATAGAGTTTATTTTTCTTTTTCTGTTTAATTAGACTGGCTGGTTGTCCTTATGATTTCATCTGAACGGCCATTAGCTTCCGGTAGTGGAAGGAGTCGGTTGTCTTTCTCGCCGGCTCTGTTCGACTATTGCTTTAGTCATCTAACATCAAATCCATTAACTATAGTTTCGCATGTATCGGTTGAAAAATTGACCAGTTTCAAGTAAGGTTAACTAATTGGGGATTGAAAATTAATAGCTCATTATTTTTGTCCATGAAGGCGATGCGCCAACGTTAGTTCGCGTGAACCTCTTCCTCCGATCCATCAGCAAAATAGATGATTATAAAATGGTGAGTGGTTGCACACACGATGTGACCGATGTCAGTTTTATTATAACACAAAGTTTCAGCTATCACTCTGTACATTGCTGTTTCGATAAGCAAAACTTTGTTTATAATAGAAATGAACATTACAATCAAATGGATATTTGGCATAAAATGCACTTTGCTAATTAATCAGCTGTATTGAACATGTGTTCGTTGTTTGGTTTTGTTATTTTTTTCTTTTGGTTAAGTTTTGTTTTTTTTTGTAATGCACAAAGTTTTTGTTAGTTTTTAAATTGATTTTGCTCTCCTAATACTATTTTTAAATTATATATTATAACAGAAACAAAAAGCAGTTAAATCGTATTAATAGTGGTGCGGTGCCGCGCACGCCTTGTATTATATTACTTAAAAAACATCTAAAAAAATTATAACAAAAACTAAATATAATTTTACTATAGATTTTTTTTTATAAAAATTTTTGCAATTTTTATTTTTAGTTTATTATTTAATTTACTGTTGTTTTCGTTTGTAAAGAGCAAATTGTAAAAACACAATTCAATCTGATGGACAATGATTGGCACAAAACCTAGCAGCACTAAATTTACGGCAACAGCTTCGGCGTTTCGGTCGCACTTTCCGGGACCGCCAACAGTAGAGGCTACCACCCGCGGTCTCGCACGGTGTCCCGCCCGCCGGGAACGTGTCTCGTCAACGCTTGCGACCACAGGGGGACGCGGCCCGCACCATACACTATCACCTCATTGTTATCATTTTACTTTCCGTATATTTTATTTTTCTCCAATCGTGCTTCTTTTTACTTGTCATGCAATACTTTGATGAGGAGATTAAAAACTATTTTGGTCGTGTACGTCGACAGTAACATGATACATTTGTCTATATTGTCTTGTTCATGTGAATTTGTGTTGTGTAAATTATACGAGGATCGTCGCGCCCGCACTCGGCTTCGCGCTTCTAACGGTGGCTGTCCAAGACACCGGACCCCGTGTCCACTTCCACTCTAGACGTACCGTAGCTCTAGATATACTGGCCGCGTGCATGAAAGGTAATCTAACTAATTTAAGCATTCCATAGACGAATGCTGCGAACGGTGAGTCGGTATCGATGCTTCGCTTGGAACGCTAGTCTGTTTAGCATGCTGCCCGGATTTCTCGAGGTTACCTTTTGGCGCTCGAGTTTTGAAACGCGCTCCTTTCAATAGGAAGGGTGGCTCTTCCTTGGCGCTTCGCCAGATACAGTTAATGCACTAGCGTTGAGCTCGCGTCCATTAAAGTCAACGCCTCACTCATAAAAGCATATTCATTCATCACCAATACCAGAACAATATATCCACCCCCACCGAAAGTTAACGTCGAGAACGCACGTTTCTAGAATTCTTCTGCATTCGCATTTTTTTTAAACGATTAATTCATTTGACTTGCTCCTGTGATGTCGAGGGTTATTGATCCGATTTTTTATTTGTTAATATAAATTTGTTGAGATCCTGAAACCTTCGACACCATCCTATCTATAGATGATAATTTAAACTAATGATTTGTGTCAATAACGCACGGTGATTATTCTAAATTCTCATCGACATTTTGAACACGCAACATTGGCATTTAATATCAGCACATTGTGATAAAGAATATTGGCACAAATATTGGCATCGCAACTAAAGGCTTGGATAAACCACGTAGAAAATAATAGCTTCATGCCATATACAAATAAAGCGATGAAATGATATAGAAATAACTGAGTTATGGAGAAAAGCTTTTTAGGAAATACCGCACAATACAGATAGCGCTTATGAATAAGTAGATTCTCTCACCAAAAAGATGTATAAAGCCTTTGTCGATGCAGTGTCAAAAGTGTTGAGATTTTGTCAAATTATTAATATAAAACTTCGCAAGAGATTTTGACAATATCCCAATATTTATCTGTGAAGTAATGCACTTGTTATAATTGATTGAAATTTTTCAGGAATACTCTGTTCAGTTGACGTTCAGAGAGCAATGGTTAGACGAGCGACTTAAATTCAACAACTTAGGAGGTAAGTGTTTATACTTAGTAGCAATCTCAATTACCCTTAAATATTGTTTTTTATACTGCCAGCCCATCAAGCTTCTGATATTAATCTACTCTTGCTATCTGATCCTATATGATCCTCTGCCACAAATGCAATGTACCTAAGAGCTTCAGGTACATTTTTGCCAAAAAGCGTGTACATAAGATTTCGGAATTTCCCTTTTTATTTATCACATAAGACGTAACTTTTTTTACAAATGTTTGTGTAACCCCAATTACCTATTAAAATTATTCGTGTGTTATCGAAAGGTGATGCCAGAACCATTAAAACTGTCAAGATGAATAATAAAAACTTGAAGTAAAAGAAGTATATTTATAACAGTGCCTAATGGCGATCAATTTTCCATGGCTACAGTTTTAAAATTTTTTTGGGATGGCAATTTAACCAAATTCGTTCGTTAACTCATATCAATAATATTTTAACGATTATTGCAAGTCTCTACAATCAACAGTAACGTTATTTGTTTGGCGAACGCTAAGTTTAACTGTCAATTTATTGTTCTTCTTGTGTTCTTATCTTTAATGACTACTTTGCGTCTACCACAGTTCTACTAACTTCGTGTAGGAGATCATCACACATTCTAAATACATTCAACCAAAGAATTTCGAATTACCAATTCTTTCCACATGGATTTACCAAGAACAACATGTTAAAAGTTTTAGACAATACAATATGGTAACTAGATGTTACTCGTTAGTTTCCTAGCGATCAAATTTGACAGAACCGGCTGCTGATTTTCTATACGAAAAGTTGGATACGAATTTAAGTCTCATTTTTCGATATTTCGTGATAGTCTTGACTCGCACGAAGTAGACCATTAAATCCTTGTTTTTCATCCAGGTCGTCTCAAATATTTGACTCTGACGGAAGCGAACAGGGTATGGATGCCAGACTTGTTCTTCTCGAACGAGAAGGAGGGCCACTTTCACAACATCATAATGCCGAACGTATACATCCGTATCTTCCCCAATGGTACGGTGTTGTACAGCATCCGTATCTCGTTGACGCTCTCCTGCCCTATGAATCTGAAGCTCTACCCGCTGGATAAGCAGACCTGCTCCCTAAGGATGGCTAGTTGTGAGTATTTAATTTGATTATGATGTATATAAATGAATTCATATCAAAAGAGATTTTTGCATTGAAAAAGAAAAACTTCCCTGGGCATGAGTCGCTCTCATATATAACTGAATAAAAATAGAGTGTCTGTTTGTAACATTAAGTTATCCTATTTTCCTAATGCGTATGTATATTTACACGTTTCATTAACCAAAATATCATTTTTTCTGGGGTTAGCTAATGAATAATGACCGACACGCGTAACTGATTTTTTTATTTATAACTTAAAATAGTCAATCACAATGTAATTTACGTCGTTATCTACCACTGTAAGCAAGCGATAAGGCAAAGATTGGATTGCGTCTCTGTAAAACTTTTGCCAATTTGGATTTAAAAAAGTCATCTGTGTACTGTTCTGGGATTCATCATGAAACCTTTTTTCACGCAAATGATTACTAAATGACCGGAATAAACTAAAATCTGTTGGCGCTAAGTCGGGTGAATACGGAGGACATGGAACTATTTCGCAATTCAGCTCCAATAGTTTCTGTCGGGTACTTTTAGCAATATGCGGTCGAGCATTATCATGGAGGAAATATATTTTATCATGTTGTGGACGCTTACGATGAAGTTCAAACTTCAGATTATCGAACTGATTACAGTACACGTTCAATGTGATCGTGTTATTGGTAGGAAGAATTTCCCAGTATATTACTCCATGTACATCCCACCAAACGCCAAATTTTTAAGACTTTCCTAATGCATGAAAATGATTTTAAATCGTACCATGATAGCTCTACAGCTAAATGACGTGTGTTGCGTCTAGAATCTTCTTCAATTAACGTCTTCAGTTTATTTATATTTGTTTCTATTGGACGCCTTGACCTCGGTTGATCTAGCAAGGAATAGTCTCCACTGCGGAATCGTTGTAGCCATCGCTTTGCTGTTGCCTCGGAGACTGTGTCAAGAGCTACCCATTGGCATATGTTACGTGTAGCTTCTGCAGTGGAATGGCCAGATTTGTACTCATATAATAAGCAATGTCAGACATGGGTTTTAATTCATTAATTTTTTCGTTGAAGTTAACGCAACGACATTCGTAGTATTACTGGCGTGCATGATCATGACACGCACTTTGTATACCCCCCGCCATAGAACGTTCTCGGCCCTACTCAAAGTATCTACAAAATAAAAATTAAAACGCTCATTACTAATTAGCCAACCCTTAGCCATAATTAGTAGATAGCTTATATAATAAGGGATAACCTAGGCTACTTTCCTACTTTGAAGTCACGGGCACAGCTAGTAAAGTTAATATTAGACAAACATCACTAAGATCACAATTTAAGTAGCTTCTAGACTACTAACTTGTAACAAAACACCCAGGTGGGACAATTCAGAAAATTATTTCCTATATTGAGCAAACCGCGAATCACCCCGGATCTTTGAGACAGTGACGCTCTGAAACCAGCATGTAAGCCGCTGAACTATGGAGATCGTAATATAATTTCAGAAAACTTTGCGTTATATGAGAAAAAACCATTTATTACATTACAATGTAGAGTGTAACCATCGCGACCTATATTTCACCAAAGTTTACTGACAGTCTTTTGAAATCGTTTTGACATAACTACACAAACAGACAGATCGTTCTAAATGCATTATATCGTCAAAGTTTACTGAAACGATAGTTATCACGTCATATTTATGATGGCCGCATAGATTAAGCCCACGCGTCCTCGTACAGTGGCCCCACAGACTAAAAAATAATATTATTAAAAAAAGCTCCCTGACCTGATGGGCTTCCAACATTTTTAGTTTTGAATGACAGGCACCAGCGTTTCTAATTAACTTCGGAGTGGATCGCATGTCACGAGTGCTTTCTGTGGACCCCGGTTCGATTCTCGGTCGGGTCAATGTCGAAAATGAACTTTTCCTTAATGTCTCTGATCTAGCGTAGCACCTTTATTTGTCATTTGAGATCTGAACAACGTATGCACTATTGTCCAATATTACTTAATCCTCTATTAAAAATGGAGCTAAAACTAGAGTCTAAAACGAAACATGAATTTATATCGATCTTCGAGTGTCCTCTGCAGGTTTATTTCATTAGAAGTCAAATGCCCAAAACAATAACAATGAGTCCTAGAAGTCGCCTACCAATGGTCTCGCTAATGATATTTATGATATCCTAAAGTCCTTTTTGATACGAGATAAGACAGGAAAAGGCTTCTCTTTTGTTGAGCACTCATAGCTTTGTACCTATACAACTTAATGACGCAGCACTCTCCTTAATTTGATTGACTGTGATTGACATCTAATATTTAACAGCTTTCCTGAATGATCGAAGATAATTATCTAAGTAAAAACATTTTTCAGTAAATAGAACCGAGTTCAATTTAAAAAAAAAGTCATAAATAATACTTATATTAAATCGGTTAAATTATTCAAGAACCATTGAGGTTGGACTAAGGTTCTCTATAGTTTTTCAATTATTAACCGGCCGACTTCAATATTTCTTCAAAAATTTTGCTGTTTTTAAAACAAGTATTATTTATCACGTTTCTTAAATTTAAAGTCGGTTCGATTTTTTGAAATATGTTTTATTTCCTAATTTTAGGGATACGATATCGATAGTTTTAGGTAAGGCTTGAAATTTTTAATTATTTGCACGACGTAACCACAAAGAAATCGGTGGACATACCTACCTGCATAAAAAAAAAAATATAATAGAAATAGAGACACCTGAGGACAGCTGAAGTAATACGAGGACGGGTGCAAGACAACCCAAGAGTAAAGTATATAACTCAACTTTATTGACTATAGACCTTCAAAACCATTGATCTTTTTATCTGAGTTCAAAACTTATTAGACCATCTACAAAATGTATATTTATATAAATATATAAAAAAGTATAATCTATGTACAAAATGATATTATTCTTAATACTCGTTTTAAACATAGAAATCTTTTTTCGCTGATATAAACATGACATCAACATATTTAGGTAATAACTGAGGAAAGGCTTATTTTGTTTTGATATAAAATAAAAATTACTGATTCAATTTCGATAAAATTTAGATGGGACCACTTCGTTCCATTTAAGTTGTCAGATAATTTTGAAAATCGATTCTGAATTTAGAACCTCCTTCTTTTTTGAAGTCTATTAAAAATAACTGCACTTGCTTTTTAATTTTGACAAATAGAAACAGCTGTTCTTTAAAAAAAATTGCCTAGCACGCAGAGCTTAGCGCAGCTCTGTCGCATCACAGAGGTTTTTTATAAAAACTTTTATTACCTTTTGAACTTGTTTTTTTTTTGAACCTCTAAGTTGTATCAGCGCTAAGTTTGACGCAGAATCATTTGTTGAATAGTGAAGCTGTTTGTTAGCGAGTAATGTAATTTTTTCATTTTAAATTCTCTTCAGACTTTAACAAATTGGTTGAGCATCAGAATTAGAATGTTTTATTTGGCTTAAATTTAACTTTCAAAGAGGCATGGAGAATAAATGGATCTACAATAGCAATATCAATAGCAACAATAGCATCAGGAGTTTTGTTTTTGTCCGAAACATTAGTCTATGGTTAAATAAACGTAACGTAAACGTAACGTAAATATCGTGAAATATTTTCGTCACCATCATTATCTACAGGCGGCGTTGGCAAGATTCCCGTATCTGATTAATTACACTATAATTTATAACAAAAATACATATCATTGTTTCAAAATTGCAGAGACAAGATATTTTTTACTTGTGTATTGCAGTGAATGATTAAAATAACAATAATTTTTTTATATTAAATATTCTCATAATATTCTTCGGAAATAAAAATAACAATTACATATCGGGTTGCATAATTTGATTAAAACGTTGAGTGCATTTTGATTAAATCCTTGCTGAAACCGAAAGAAAATAAAATTTCAACCACCAATTTGATTAAAGAAAATTTGTACATTGATGTTGAAATAATATTAATGTAACTCTTATTTATACATAAGGAACACCTGTGGTTTTGGACCGAGCTTTAGCCAAGTATGTCCAAGGAATAAAAGCAAATGATACATTAGTGTCAAACGTACTACTTCCGTATTAAAGAGAATTTATTGTTAAGATATAATTATATAAATTACAGGTTTTCGTGAACCATTTTAACTTGTAATAAATTAGTCCTAAACGAACATCATATACTAATTCAATTCAAATTCTACCTTTGAAGTACATACGCGCGTAAAATGACACTTTTCGTGTCTTTTATTGCTATAGTATAATTAATGCATTTTTAAAGGCGCAGGAAGGAATTCTTTTACCAATTTTTGAAAACTTTATACAGACGCGACACTTGATGGTAACTAAGTGTAACTCGGGCAATGCATTACTTTTGAACTGTAGTCTAGTAAGACAATATTGTTGGAACGTAAATGTATGTTGTTAATCCAAGCTATGAGCTATCCGTTTTTACATAATTGCATATGTAATGAACATAAAACGTTCCGATTAATAATAGGATTAGTGGGATGGTATTAATGACATTTGTATTCGGATTTATAGTGGACGGCAGTTGTAATGGTCTATTTTAATAACTCTAACTAGTCTATGTTACGGGAGAATATGTGGAATTTGTATTTACACTTCAACTGTAACTAATTGTATTTAAAAAGTGGTATATACTTAGTGATGACTACTTTAATGAAGCTGACTCACAGTTTTAAGTGCCAATATTTCCAATACGAATTCAAAATTTTACATCTTTCATACTATTCTGTGAATAATAAAACTCAACGAATAACTTAAATTACTATGATAAAATTTTAATAATAAATTACGTAGATACATAATATTACGTCTGTTATGCGTTGATGTTTGGTTTACTTGCTAGTTTCATAAAAAAATTCAAAACATAGAACCGACTTCAAATTTAATAAGTGATAAATTACACTTATCTAAAAGAGGTTACATTTTTCAAGACCCATTGAAGTCTAGCTAAGGTTTACTGTAGTTTATTAAATGTTAACCGCCCGACTTCAAATTCCGCTTTTTAAATAATAATTATTTGTAACTTTTTTAATTTGAATTCCGATCTATTTTTTTGAAAAATGTATTTATTTAATTATTTTTAGCGTTAATTATATGGATACTTTATAAAATTTTGTGTAGGCATGACTAAAATATTAAATTTCTGTAAAAGAAATTATGTTTACAACGTAAGGCCTAAAATTTTTATTTATTTGCACGACGTGAGCACAAAGAAATCGATGAACATACCTGCTTTTATAAAAAAACAATAATTATATATATTATCGATAGTTCAATAGAAATAGAAAAACCTGAGGCAACCTGAAGTAAAACGAGGGTCCAAGTCAACAAAATAGTAAAATATATAACACAACTTTACTGACTTTATAACTTCAAAAGTGTGGATTTTTATTTGAGTTTAAAACTTAATACAAAATCAACAAAGAGTATATTTATACAAAGATATTTACAATAAGAATATTATTCATAACTTTCATAACACTTATTTGAAGTACAATCTATGTAGAAAAAACATTTTTAAAACGTCTTGTGTTTTCGCTTATATAAACATGACATCAACATGTTTAGGTGATATCTGAAGAAAGACATATTTTGTTTTGATATAAAAAGAAAACTACTGATTCAATTTCATAAAATTTAAATGGGACGACCTTGGCCTATTAAGCTGTCAAATAAAGAAGAATTTTAAAATTCAATTCATAATTGGGGGAGTAATCGCGTAACAAACACACAAAAAATTATACAGTCGAATTGAGAACCTCCTTATTTTTTGAAGTCGATTTAAAGTGGGAATTGAAATGGCGATATCAACCTTTTTTCATAATTTAGTAGTATAGTAACCTTATGACTATATAAAAACAGCCAAGTCATAAGTCTTGACTAGGGTGAAAAGTTGATAAAGCTTATAAAGTTAGGGCGTGTAGAGTGAGAAGCTTGGCTCCTCATAAGATCTGAGTACTTTTTAACGGCGCTAGGCATATGGGGTTCTCTTGGCAACATTTTACATGAAAGCTTTTTGGTAAACTTAAAACGTGGGAGCACTATAAAAAAGTATTATTCTGAAATAGAAGCGAAGGCGAATTCTACCTTATTATTTTTTCTAAGAGCGTGGTACTAAACTATGATGTTTCTCTAGATGGGTGGACTACAGATGACCTGGTGTTCCTCTGGAAGGAGGGCGATCCAGTACAGGTGGTGAAGAATTTGCACCTGCCTCGGTTCACTCTAGAGAAGTTTCTCACTGACTACTGTAACAGTAAAACAAATACAGGTGAGTTACAAAAAATAATATTTATTGTACACACAGAAAAACGCCTGGATTTTTAACTCTACCTTAATTCACTTGTATAACTTGGCGTGCTGTTGACTGTACTAAATTACAATACTCTAAAATTTTTCCACTTTATAAGATTTGAACCAGAGTTTAACAATAAATATCAAAAAATGACCACCAATTATTAAAGCTTTTTTTGCAAAATCTCTATCTTCGTTACGATCTGTCAGTGACAAATTAATGTTCTACTTTGTTTAAATCTGATGTTTCATTAACGTATTCAATAGTTCGTGTGTTGTAAATGCATTGAATATAATAGTTCGTATGTATGTTTTTAGCTAAATATTTTATTAATATCCATTTCATATCATTAACATTGTCCACCGAACTCTAATTTAAGATAGAACAATTCTTTTTTAATCTGCTATACAACATTATTTTTTAGGCGAATACAGCTGCTTGAAGGTTGACTTGCTCTTCAAACGCGAGTTCAGCTACTACCTGATCCAGATCTACATTCCGTGCTGCATGCTCGTCATCGTCTCCTGGGTGTCCTTCTGGCTGGACCAGGGAGCTGTGCCCGCTAGGGTCTCGCTCGGTAAGATCATACGCTCTTATACTGATATATAAAAATATCTTATATTCAGCCCTATTTAATGTTGCTGTGTATGTTATGTGGTCTCAACAATAAACGAATTTCTTTTTTTCTTTCAAAGTTCGAATGATTGATCTCAAAATCAGAGAACGCTTTGGCCTTTGCTCTAGACCCATTTTTTTCACGATGAAGCATCAAGATCACGATGAAAAATCATTCAATTTCTGAAACATCAAGAATTATTATAGCAGCTATTTTCAGAAATGAAATAAGTTTTTCACAGCTAATTGTAGAAGTGATTTCTGAGGCATTAATTGCAAAAAAAACTTACTAAGCTGTATTTTTTGCAGTATAATTAATTTTTATTCCATTGTATTATTACTTTAGTATTTTGTATTAGTAATTTGGACTGTGAACCACCCGAATTCAATGGAAGTATTCAGTGGAAAACTATAATAGGGTTAAAATGTCTTTAAAAGAACTACATATGTTAAAATATATTTTGTTGTTTTCTAAGTATTCACTTTATAACTTTTAGTAACACATAAAGTATTTGCGTTACAAAAATCATAGGAAACTAAAATCATAAAAAAAAGGATATCAATAAAATGAAAAAGAAAATCAAGATAAACATACTGAAAGAATCGACTTTTGTCTTGGCTGTATGGTATATATGTATATAGGTGCCTTTGCCTTTCCATTTCAAAGTTAATGGAAGAAAGAGAACAAAAAAAATAATATCGCTCTACAATTTGCAGAGAAACAGATGAACTTGCATAAAAATAAATATAAGTATGTACATACCCTTCAAAGATAGAACCTCTTTCTTTTCAATTTAGAAGTCGGTTAAAGAGAAAAATTTATTGTAGGTAAAACATATGTATATTGTAACATTTAATTCTTTGTGAGTGAAGGATATTACTGCTCTTCTTCTTTGTGTAGCTCTTCATTACTGGAGGTTTGCCGTCAACTCAGCGAATTTGTTCCTATCTTGAAGTAAGAGAAATGTCCTAAGATGTTGGCTATCTTAGTCCACCCTTGGATGTTTCGAAACCATGTTTTTTTTTCTACCAAGGCATCACTTCCCCATTAATTTTCCTATCATAATGAGCTGAAGAAGCTGGTATCTCTCATGGCTTAAAACAATGTTGAGTTAAACCACTTTCGTTTGCTTAATGGTTAGCAATAACGAACGTTTTGGTTTTTCTCAACGTTCTTCTTCTTGTCAATGACCGCAAAAAAATCTTTACAGAATTAATGTGTTTGAGAACGATTTCGTTATGTTGTAATGAAGATTGATGCAAGAAAATCAACTTTTATTTAGATTAGAGGTTAAAGTCACGGTTAAATTTAAACATACGACGTTGTTTGATGTTTATGAGTATAAACGATGTTGGACATAAAAAACACGACATTTATTTATTAGGTTACTAAACGTGGGAGGTGCAATTTTTCACTCATCGTTGTCAACTTATAAAAGGATGCTTTAAATGACATAATGTATTCTAAATATACGATAAACAAAAATAGAAGATTTTCTAAGTACCTATTTATGCGTTGCTGAATTTGATTGCTCATCATTTGTTCTAAGGTGGGTGGATCATGGAAGACCATGCTCCTTCAAGGCCAACTATAAAAAAATCATAGTTATTGTCATATTATGACAAATTCCTTCCATTCACACTAAGGTCTATCAAACCTAAGGACACAGACGAAGCGGCAAATCGCTTGTGACGGTAGTTTGATGGTGAGGTCTCTCGCTTCTTAGACTTCGGCCGTTGACGTTAAACTAGTAATTATTGCACACAACAAAAGGTTTTTTTTAAATGTAAATAACCTATTATAATATTATTTTATTTGTTTTGTAAATAATCATAAATGATTTCATATATTACTAAAGAAGAAAGAATGATTATATTTCGATTTCAGTTTAAATATCGTCAGTTTTCATATGAAGGCCAGTGTTTCCTTGTAAAACCAATGAAAAATTTGATCTTGCCCATGTATTTGGCCTTACTAGGGTATCTGGGTTTTACAACAAACATTTCCAAATCATAGAAAGATGAACTTCGTTTCTTGTTATAAATGCGTAAAAGAAAAGTTATTATTTATTATATATTGTTTAAAATTATTTGTTTTAAAATATTTCTACAATAATTGAACAGATGATTAGATGTAAACAAACACAAAATCAAATCATTTCCCTTTAAAATATTAGTATAGATTAAAAAAGCTTGTTATAAATAATAATTGTTAGTTTGGTCTTCTTAAGAACATTTTGGTCATATACTGAATACTATATTTTTTTAAGTAATTTCCATGAATATATTTTTAGTTTAACGATGGTGTTGAGGGCATGTTCGTTGAAGTTTTTAAAGAAAATTATATTATGTTAAGCATTTAATGCTCCGTTTACATAAATGAAAGTGCTTTGTATGTAGTTTTATAAAAAGAGAATATATAATAATTATTAAGTTGAGCTAATTATTTATAATATTTTTGCAAGAGCTTAATAAAAGTAATATTTAATTAGTAGTGATAACATCTAGAATAAAAGGAAACTATTTTTAAGTTATTCAACAAAGCGTTACTGAATAATAAGTTCCTTTAATTTAACCCGTAAAAGAACCAAGAAAAATTGTTTATTCGATGGTGTGGCCTACCATGGTTAAGTATTTTCCGATGATTAAACACCAAATGCTTATTTAGATGTTAAATACTTTATATAGGTCTTCCTAATATAACAGTATAAATAAAATTAAAATAAATCAGTCCCGTAACGGACTTAAGACATTTAATTCCTTCTAAACAACTTTTTTATGCGGCTCACGTTGTTAGACAGGTAATTTGAGACAGTTTGTGAATTGCTATTTTTTTCTGATCACCCAAAGGTTAATAACTGATTTTTATGTGTTTATAGTCCTAATACAATTTAAATCGTACCCGCAGGAGTGACCACGCTCCTGACTATGGCGACCCAGTCGTCTGGCATCAACGCGTCGCTACCACCCGTTTCCTACACGAAGGCGATTGACGTGTGGACGGGCGTCTGCCTCACGTTTGTGTTCGGGGCGTTGCTCGAGTTCGCGCTTGTCAACTACGCTTCTCGCTCAGACATGCACCGGTAATAATGCCACCAGTGACTACAGTATATGAAAAACCTTGATTTATATGCAAACCTTGAATGATCAGTCAGGCTGACAGACCAACTGTGAGAAGACTTAATTGGGAGTTTACTTTATCGGAACACTTCTAAAAATATCAATGCTGTCGATGAATTATGATATTCAAGCACGGGGGACACTCATAAAAGATTTTCATGTTTCTAAGCTAATAGTAAGTGCATCTCGGAATGAGGTAATATTATTAAATAAAGCTCTATTCAACTACATGGATTGAGACCAGCGGATTTTATACAACTGTACATATATCAATTCAAATTTAATATTCTTAACGTTTAATTAAAGTTGGAATTACCACGTATTACCACGTATGCTTGACGTACTATGATCGTCAGGTAGTTACTTCATGCGACCAAACAAATAAAAGGTTCAAATATCAGTTACAACCGAAGTTGCCATTATATAGGTATTAATAAGTAAGATTATTATTTGTAATTCTGGTTATATTTAGTGAGAACATGAAGAAAACTAGGCGTGAAATGGAGGCAGCAGCGAGTATGGACGCGGCTTCAGATCTTCTCGACACAGACAGCAACGCCACCTTTGCTATGGTGAGCTCGCATCTGATTAGATCGTTTTATTTTAATTGTAGCTTTCGTTTAACAATGATTCTTGGCAGCAAATAGATGGAGGACTTTTTATTTCAAGTATTAAATCTAAAATAACGTATAAAATTACCAAAAACTAATCTATTGTAATTTACGTAATTTATTTTAGACTTTATTCATCCATTTTGCTATACGTACCACAGATACAAACTCAAATATTTCATCACTAATTAGGACCAGTTTTTTGATCCGTGGTTAACTCAATATTCAATTCACTTTTATTACGTCAGAAACAAAATTTGAATAAATATCATAAACAAAATCCAAAAATCGCGAGTGACATCTAGTATGATTTCAAGAACTAATTTTTATTTTTTAAATACTTCCTCATTGTCAGAATTCCAACCATTGGTCAAAAAATTTAACCATCACTGGAAGACCAATGGTTAAAAGAATAGATGTACAACTACGTTGTATTTACTTGGTCCCTTGCTATTGTTTTTAACGTTCCTACATGGTTAGGCTAACTATTAATCAAAAAACATATTTTTCCGATATTTAACCATTTGTCGAAGATTTTAACAAATGGTTGAGTTAACCACGGATCCAAAAACTGGCCCTTAGTATAATTTTGCATTCAATTGATAGATCTCCGTAGAGCTGCACTGAAACACGGAGTTTTTATTATTTAATTTATCTTGAAAATTATCTTCTTTATTAATTTATCTTCAAAAACAAACAGAATTGCACGCCTCGCTAAGCCATCCATACAGCAGGTCATGCTCATGCTACTGCCTTTCCAAGATCATTTTCACCTCCACGTTGAGCCACAATAAGAATGATAAGTTCGACCTGAAGCTTGTATCGTCAGAAATGTGTGAATGTCCTCATTATTGAGGTCCTGGCCTTTCTTCAATTATTAGTAATTACACGCATACACGACATTCCACTACGGAGCTCCAGTGTGACATCGCCTAACTCTATCCGTAGGATATATCATATATCATATCCTACCTTTAGAGCTTAACGATGAAACGAAGACATTTCGTTTTATTTTTGTTCGTCTGCGGTCAAGAGGATGAATGACTGAATTGATATCATAGCTGTCAAATTTATAATAATTATTCTTTATCATGAATTCGTCCTTATTAAACTACATGACAAAGTATTAAAATGAAACGAAATAACATCATAGAATCGCTAAGATGTTGTATCCTATAGTCATAGCTAGAGTTTAGGTGCTTCATCCCTAGTCCTTTGTAGATGTTAATTAATGCAGATACAATTGGGGCCAATGGTTTGACCTGTCTTTCAAAGAATAGAGGAATTGGAGATAAGATTTTATAGACATTCACACAGAACAGTCTTTGTGAATTGTTAACATTCAATATCTTTCTTTCTCGCTTACTCCTTTGCTGCTTGAATGAAAACTGCATGCTTTCGTTAAACGCTGCGGACTAAAAGCTTCACTCATTCTGAGAGCTTCACTATCTTAGCCGCTTAGCCACCGTTAGGGCAAAAATCTCCGGAGAGACATGTATTATGTCCGTCGTCCCTGACTGGTCTGCAACTGACAGAAGCCTTTGGTGCGTGGCGCTGACTCGAAGATGCGACAGTGCGAGATACACCTGAAGCCACCACGCAAGAACTGCTGTCGGCTGTGGATGTCCAAGTTCCCAACACGCTCCAAGAGGATCGACGTCATTTCGCGCATCACCTTCCCATTAGTCTTCGCTTTGTTTAATTTGGCCTACTGGTGAGTTTATATCGTGTAATTTATTACCTTCAATACCAAAATAATAATGTGGTCTCTTAAAAGTTGCTGAATGCTTATTAAAATTTGGTACACGAGTAGATCACCATCATTACCCTATTAATATCCCACTGGAAAACTGGGAAAATCTCCCTATGGATGAAATCGAAACGAATAGAAAGAATGGGTCATACGCGTGTCAATTGCGGATTTATGGATAGACGTCTGCAGATATAGCCAGGACCGACGGCTTAACGTGTCTTACGAAAGGGCTCGAGATAATCATCCTTTGTGATGACCCATCCTATGTCCGTGTGAAATCCCTTGGGAAAGTTGCTCAACTTCCGCATCGCAGATTGAATGCGCTAATCACTCTGCCTCGTTTGCAGATTTCCAACAGATATGAAGATACTTAAACTTGAAAATTATTCAATTATTGTTATATTTATTTCAGTTTTATTTTATTTCATTGTCAATCGCGGCTATGTTTTCAATGCCGATACTATAAGTTTTCTACCGATCACGCTCGTCAGGTCTACCTACTTATTCCGTGAAGAGGACGAGGAGAAGTGATTCTCCGGGTGAGTGGGCGGCGCGGCGCAGATGGCGCGTCTGGCGAGCGCAGTGCTGGCGCCGTACGTGCTATTCGTGGTCGCGTACGCCGTTTTCCTGCGCTCCTCTGCCCCACGCACCCTGCTCCGCGCCCGCATCTAAACCGATATATCCACCAGAAATCTTGCAGAACTTAACTTACCCAAGCGACATGTAAACGCCCATGCAAATGGTGACTTGCCAAATTTGCTGCGACAACCACGCGTTTTGTAGAAAAAATTGCAGGGGCAGAGTCATCAGTTGACTTATGCAAGATATTGTGGAAATTACTTGCCGGTGGACATTCCACTTAACCTCTACGCGTCATATGCAATTTATTTACTACCCTCTCATACTTTCCAGTCCTCCATCTCAGCAAGTGTACCTGATTACTTACCTTCCAAATAAATAAACTGATGTGGCTTAGGTATCAACTGTAATTAATACTCTTTGTGCTAGAATTGAAAATTGTCCGCATTTCCAGATAGATCGTTACGTTGCTTATTTAACGTTACTAATTATCAAAGTTATAATCTTAGAAAGAAAATTTGAAATGTTACCAATCTATATAGATTATTGAAATTTTTTTTCCGTGGTGTCCGCAGCGTAATATTTATATGACGAAACGTAATATCAAACGACAAAATAAAACAACTAAACTAAGGAATTATGAATATTCAATGATGCTTCCTATTAAATTGGCATTAGATGCGAAGATAACTTTAAAGTGACTTTCTAATTTGAGGAAACCATAAATGGTTCCAAATTATTGCCCTACAACGTTTAAAGTTTAGATCTTTATAAACATCATAGAGTTAAAATTATTAAAACAAACAACAAATCTAGTAAATATAGATAATTGCCAAGCGATGTCTCAATAAACAAGATAAATTAAGAGACCAATGAAAAAGTGCGATTTATATATTATATTACTAAGGTCTATCTGGATGCAGCTAGCTTTTGACATAAAAACGATATTTTAAAAGCTTTATGAGAGAACAAATAAAATTCATATTTATTGACCTCACTTAATTCATTTAATTAGTACTTCAATAATGTCAAAAACGGAAATTCATTGTTTCTTCACATTTTGTATTTAAAATAATGATGTGAGAAAAATATATATGTGATTTGCAATTTTTGTTAAAACATGGCTGCAATATCAATGTATTAGCGCTATAATGTAAATATAATACAAAAATCAATTCTGTAATTTAAAGCATAATAAACCTTAATGAGATACAAGAGCTACATCATACTTGTAACTGTATAGAAAATTATAAGATTGGCTTACACTGGAAACTTTATTTACATTACAACACCAATTATGTAGTTCGAGGTATCAATGCTCAATTATTGTGTTTGATTTGTGTGAATGAATATGCGAGTAAATGAATAACGTTTAGATGATATTTTGTTGAGTAAATAAATATTTGTATATTTATTTTTAAATAATTTTACATTTTTGTCTTCGATTACTAACAATATTATTCCATAAATGTTTAGTTAATATATAGGATTCTTTACTCAGTATTAATGTAATTTCCTGAAAAAATTCAATTTTATAATTTGACAATATAAGTACTAACACGTATGCTTTAAAAGGAACATTTGATTTAAATGAAGTTTTTGTCGATGATTTTACTAAATTAAGCCTCATTTGAAGGTGTCATAAAAAATTATGACTATATACATATAACACTAGTCTATAAAAATATTTCCAAACATTACTCCATATTACATTTTAACCCAGACTAGTTTAGAATAATGCCACGTTTAACACGTTATTCTGTTAAAAAACAGCTTTGAGCTTGTCGAACGCAGCAACATGTTACCCTTTAAAGTAGGTTTTATTTGATTAAACTTCTTTGGTGTAACATCAGTACTTTTAACTAGTTATATCCTGTTTTTATAACAGAACATACTTCAGATTTTGAGTTGAGATAATTATAAAAAGTAACATTATTAACTACACATAATGTAGATACAGTAATTATACAGTATTATGTGGGTTCGACTCTATCTCATAGGGTACTAGAGTTCAATATATTAACTCTTTAGAGATTAGAGGATCTTATCATAACATGTTCACACTTATTGTATGATGGTTTAGATGTATAATAATCATGTAGAACACATTTTATTACATCTTTATAAGAAAATTCGTCTATAAGACAAATGGAATTTATAAACAAGTTATTCATCAAGTAACATAGTAATTAGGTACAATATTAAATGTATTTGTAATTACCTCATTAAAAGTTTTACGAACAGCTTTGATTTCGCCTTTATATTATTATATTTTTTAATCACTTATTAATTTTAGTAACTTAAATATATAGATAGATGTTAACTATTTTTAAACGGATATGTTTCGGATTCACAATTGCGGCCTATGGATTTTTTATTGTTGTTACATTATATTACAACAATATACGTAGTTTGAGTAATTTGTTTATATAGATGATATTGTTTTATCGCATGAAAACTGAACTTGAGACTTTTAATGAGAAATGTAGGTACGTGGTAAATGTGTATATAGTTGGGCCTACAACTTTCTACACCTGTGTCGCTCAGTGTACAGTAATGTATAATTAATATGTGACTTACTGTAAAAAAAATAAATGTTTACTTTATGTCGTCTCACGTATTTACGTGTCATAGATAATTCAATGTTTCTATATAATCTCCGAATAGTACGTTTTCTGGCTCATTTATTAATTTCATTATTTGATGTTTTGTAAAATTTTAACCACGTTTTCTTTTAAGGTGTTCAATGCAACATACAATTTGTAGGTAGGTACTTTGCAATTGACAATTATTGTGTGTTCAAGTGAGTGCCAACAATTTTTGCATGAGCTTATACTATGAAATTCTGCAAACAAAAAATATTGTAGAAATAAAAGTAAAGAACAGTAAAGAATTTTAAGGAATTTTGACGAACTTTATAATTTTTGCAAGAAAGTTAATGAGTAATTCACATTTTTGTTTTATAATGAATCTGTTAAGAAACGTACTATTCGAATATTGATGTCATAAATGTGGAAATACATATCTTTATGTATTATCATAATATATTCTGTGTTCTGTCATTGAATGGATAATTAGCAACAAAACTGGCCTATTCGATATGTGAATTGAGTTGATTCCGTCTTTAATTGCTATTCCGTATTTATTTTCTACAGTTCTCGCTCATTTTTCTCTTTCCGTCCCTGTTATGGTGAAAATTGTTAACGATGGATACATAGGTTGATTGTCTCAACATTGACAAATAAAAGATTAAATCTGAGAGATTACAGTTTTATGAAGGATATTGATCGTAGAATAAAGTGAATAGTGAATATTTTCACGATTAAGATGAAGGTGTTAGTTCGCTCAACTAATGTTCATTTAGATGTAACCTTACTAGATTTTCTTGGGCTGTGATGAAGTTATGTAGAATTTAAACGTTTTAAAATACCCTACACAATTCTTGATAAAATATACTTTCAAACAGATTGTACAAATTTCTTGTTCAGTATTTTCCAAATTAAATATTGTTGATATATTTTGAATAAAGTCAGTTATGGGAAAATTATATAATAGTTATTATGTATGTACCAATTATTGAAGGTATCAAAAATTGGTACATACAAAAACGTGAAATGTTCCTTTCAAATTTCGCTTTTATAAAGTAATGTATGATAATTCCTTATTCTAAAGTCATCAAAGTTATATTATTTTGAAATAACAAACAAAATAGGAACTTTTCCAAATTGCACTTGTAAATGAAGTCAATTATAGATGAAAAACAATTGTAAAAATACATTACGATAATAACGCCTTACTTAAAGAAAATATTACAATCAGATTTTTATTAATTACTGACTAATATTAATTGAAAGGACCTTTTCCTTCCAATTGCGAAGAATGATTATGAAATGACCTCGAGTAACATAAATATAATTTAAAATACTTCATTCCTACTGTCATTTAAGTTAAAAGGAACGAATGTAACGACTGCGCTGGAAATGATTTTAATAAAATACAATACACCCATCTTTTTGTTTTATTTCTAAATCAAAATCAAATATCGGTTAAATACCATAAGTACTTAGGTATACAATTCTAATGACACTACCTTCATTTATGACAAATTCAGCCCATTTGTTTAAATGAAGAATACATTAATAATGCCTATTAAAATATATACATTAGTAGATCCCTAAAATTATAAAAATGTTTTATTCTAAAGCAAATAAACAGATAGATACATTCTATAATACTAATACCTAAATAATATTAAAAAAAGAAATCGTCATTGCACGTAACATTAAAATTTTTAATAAACTTAAATATCTACATCTTGTTAAGAAAATACATTCTTAATTAATTCTTCACCAAGTTTATACCACCATTGATCCTGTTTCATGTCGAAGTTTCTGTAGAGCCAGGGATTATAGTTTTTTCTAATTTTTGTCCTCTTTACATGCTATTAGCCTCTCAGCTTCAGACTGTAAAATATAAATGCCAATATACATGTTATTTAGTCTAAAAACCTAACATTACATTATAACATCTGACATTTATAAAAATATTAATTAAATTAAATCAATCTATGGTCACAACAAAGTAATATAGTAGTATCACTTTGCTTAGTTATTCCTAGTAAATTTTTAGGGTTCCGTAACCAAAAGGTAAATCAGAACGCTATTACTAAGATTTCGCTGTGTCTGTCCGTTTGTCACTAGGCGTATCTCATGAACCTGAATTAATGAAAGTTAGACAGTTGAAATTTTCACAGATGATGTATTTCTGTTGCCACTTTAACAACAAATATAAAAAAAAAAACAGAACAAAAAAAATATATAGGGGGCTCACATACAACAAACGTCAGTTTTTGTGTCGTTTTCGTTACGGAATCCTTCGTACTCGAGTCCGACTCATACTTGGCCGGAAAGCCTAAGCCACAGCAATGGGGACAATAATAGGTGATGATGTTTTAACTCCTATTTTGCTGTGTTAAATGTAATTAGCGTGAACTACAAACAGCTCTGAAGCATCTTAAAAAATAGAAAACCCCCGTTGACGATAGAATTACTTCAAAACGTATGCAAGCTGGTAGAGCTCCATTTAAACAAACTCACAGGAGACTATAATTCCGTTCTTCACGATCTTCAAAGTGTAGAGCAGCAATTTAGTGGTGTTTTTTTAAACAAAGTGACAAAACTCTTCTTAAGAATAATAGAGCGACATCTATAAGTGTCAGAGTAAACACGAATCACCTCGTCAGAAGACTCGATGAGTTTAAATCTCCGGAACAGGCAGAATTTCATCAGAATCACAAAATAGATTTAGGAAAACCATTTAATAGAGTCATTATTGCTCCGATTTCAATAAAGATATTTTTTTCACTTCGATAAAAACTAAGGCATGAACTATATCAAAAATCGTTAATAATAATTCACTTGAATCAATAAATTTCACTAAGTTAAAAATATTATTTAATCTCTTCGCTTACTACTAGCTCACATGTACGGCAAGGCTGCACTGCAAATGGAGCGACGACTATGGGATTAAAAGCACAATGGAGCTTGAAGATAATTTTAGTCACCCTTCCTAATATTGGTCAATGTAAAGGTCTCAAATCTGCACATTAACTAAAATGCATTATTACGCCATTAAGCTATCCATGAGTTTTAAACATACTTAGATTAAAAAAAGCGACTCACCTGTATCAATTTGTATATGACGTACAGAGTTTCTTCTGATGTACAGGCATCATTACCGAATTCTGTATGTACAGACCTCTTCCCGTTGCCCCAACCAGTGCTAAAAGTCAATTGGGCATGAGATACTACCAATAGTAGAGTAGTAAGGAACAGCGCGATCAATAAAGGACGGCCCATGTTGTTTTTACAAATGACGAGAATTGTTAGACAAGTCTTACGTCCTCCTATCTCTAAAGTCACCCTTGGAATGTTCGAGGGATTCTTGGATCACGCATTTATAGTCCAGCAAAAAACAATTAAATGATGAGCCGAGAGTTAATCAAATGAAAACCGCTCAATGTTGGGAAATATTCAGATGATATTTGTTGGTAGTAACTCGAACTTTGTAAGATTTCGGCAAGCTATATGAAATGTGGGCATATAATCAATTAAGTAGAATACCATTACCACAAAAATATATTAAATAATTGCTTTTTTCGAAGAAAAGGTCGATTTATCCATACTTAATTAACAGAATAAATAAATAAGTAATTATTATTTTGAATACCAACTGTGGAATGTTTTCAAAATCGGCTGTGGCTCATGTTACTCTTAAACTATAGTTTACGTGTTTCTGTAACTATGAGTATATTAAGTGGGCTATAATGGGCGATTCACCGCTGGGTTAGACATATTATACATACACATATATAGCCCTCTTCTTCCCTAAGATAAATAAGAGACAGGTTTCGAAATTGGAAAGTTTTATTAGATGTCTGACGGGTTCGATGCTTAGGCAAATGAATAAAAGGCTGAATAAGCTTGAGAACTTGATTTAATAAAGGGTAAACCAAAAACCTGTAACAAACAAAAAAGGAATATAAAGTGATATTCATAAAGAGCTATTGGATTACTCAAAATTTCGAATTATGAAAAGTGAATCATAAAAATAAATGATTTCGAAGATCAAATTCAAAAAGTTTGCATGCGGAAACCTACGACGAAATAAACGGTGGTACGTACGACGCAACGTTATAGATGGGTCGGCTTTATCAAACTCTGAGAACCACTTTTTAAGTCATGGAATGGGACCACTGTCATTGCATTGGGCCTTAATTCTAACTCAATGTTAACTTAATAATGGCATCTCAATATTGTTTCAATAAATTACATTTTGCCACTGCGTTATCTGGAATGCAACCTAGAATAGAACAACATAGTACATACGATATTGTCTTGATAATTCAATAGTAACAGACATCACCTATTGATATTAGTGTTTTAGTAACAAGTTCTATTATTAAATAATTATAATATAACTCCACTGGTCAGCCGTAATTGGGTTAAACTTAGTAGAATCGAGGTCCAGTGTTCACAGAAGATTAAGAAAAAGATAATAAACAGAAGTATTGTTATGTACACGTTGTATACTGTTGACTCTAAATATATATACATAAAATATAAACAAAGATTACACAATAAATTAACGGTTTTGGCTGAAGGAAAAGCGTAGGCCTTCCTTTGTTGACACAATTGTCAGTCTGTTTATAGGTCATTTGAAAAATGTATTATACATATAGTCCCAGAAAACATACAATCTAGAGACAAGTAATCTATAACCTTTTACGTTTTACGCACTTGTCCGTTTTTTTTTTTTGTTTTCATTAAATATGATATTCAGTACTTAATTTTATATTCACAACGCTAATAATAGAAAAAATAGATCTTTCTAGATTCAGGGGTGCGACTACCTAACCCTCTAGCCTTAATTCTAGCCATAGGTTACGATATCTTATCAATGTTTTGCGACATTACGTTTCATTTTACTACTTTGACATGTACTTTTATAACAAAGAGCGAACGATAAAGAATGATGATTATAGATTCGAGACTTGCTTAGTAATTTATCCACCAAGCGACATTTCAAAATAGTAACATGAAACGAAATGCCGTCATTATATTGGTAAGATGTCATCAGGGCTATAGGGTAAGGATCTTGTTTTATATTTTTTCATTCCCATAACCATATGGAATGAGTGGTTTTTATTTCAATAACAGAAAGTAGGTATGTTCCATCTATCCACAAGGGAATAATATAAATATACGAGCCAATTATTGCGGCTTCAGACAAATGTAGATAGACAGATGACGTTCGCAATCAGGAATAAATTAAAACTCCTGTGGCTTCACCTATTTTGTATAAAAACTTCTGTTCGCTCGATCACATCATCACTTTTACTTGACAGCGAGATTAAATCGACAAACATGTATAAGTTGCTGGCTTTGTTCGTAGTCATCGCTTGCGTTATAGCTGCGGAAGCGCAACTAACTTTTACGTCTAGTTGGGGTGGTAAAAGGGCTGCCATAGCTGGCACCGTGTCCTGCAGAAATGATGACGCTATAGCTGCTATATATAAAATGATTCAGGTATGGTTTCCATACGGTCTGTCCGATGTCCGTTTGTACACTTAAACAATGTCGAACGGATTTTTAAGCTATTTCTTATGGAATTCTAATTTCATGATTTTAATTTCATTAACGAAAAAACTGCATGGATTTGTATTTATATAAGTACATTTAATTTATTTTATTTCAAGTGCCTCAATTTTAATACCTAGTAATAAGTTATAATACTAAAATCAAATAGACGTTTAACTTTCTTGAATAATAAATCATGTTTCGATATTAGTATGTTCGTATTTTTACGTTAATATTTGAGTAATTAATAAAAACGTCTGTCTCCTTTTTTCAGAATGAAGCCGAAAGATTTATACTTTGCCAGAAGCCTTGAAGATACCACTAACGACGACCGAAATGGATATCTGAAGACCGTACTTGTTTGTTTTATAAGCGCCAATAATGTGTTCTTTAATAAATATCGTTGCTTAATTATTATGGAATGAATGAATAAATCTATATTTATTGTTCACGAATTTTAGTTTTTATTTATTGTGCTTATTTTATTTATCGTGATTCATTTTCACTTCAGTAATTTATTTGACCCATTTTAATATAAAATAAACCAAAAATTGTATAGGATAATTAATAATTATATATAGGAAATAGCAAACGTACAAACTTCCATAATTTAGCGGGAAAAAAACAAACTGACATTCTCTATGAAAAATACTTAAAAAATCCCCTGGTACTCTAAGATGGGATTCGAACTAATGACTTTTCGCAATCCGGACGATTGCTGTAACCATTGAGACACTCAGGACCTAACAGGATTGACTGGTTCTTTAGGCACTTGTTATCTTTTCACTACTACAGAGCGTATTTTCATCAATGTTCAGACCCAAACAGGGGCAAAGTGGATTTTTTTTAAATTTTTCATTAGTATAGCGTATATTGTGACTGCAAAATTGATACAATACATATAATAATTAGAACAGCTTTTCATCTTTATCGAAAGTTAAATTATTTGTAAAAATATTTATTTCGGCTGTTTGGGTAGATTACTTGAACATTGATGAAAATACGCTCTGTTTAACTGACTGGTTTTTATTTCAATAACAGAAAGTAGGTATGTTCCATCTATCCACAAGGGAATAATATAAATATACGAGCCAATTATTGCGGCTTCAGACAAATGTAGATAGACAGATGACGTTCGCAATCAGGAATAAATTAAAACTCCTGTGGCTTCACCTATTTTGTATAAAAACTTCTGTTCGCTCGATCACATCATCACTTTTACTTGACAGCGAGATTAAATCGACAAACATGTATAAGTTGCTGGCTTTGTTCGTAGTCATCGCTTGCGTTATAGCTGCGGAAGCGCAACTAACTTTTACGTCTAGTTGGGGTGGTAAAAGGGCTGCCATAGCTGGCACCGTGTCCTGCAGAAATGATGACGCTATAGCTGCTATATATAAAATGATTCAGGTATGGTTTCCATACGGTCTGTCCGATGTCCGTTTGTACACTTAAACAATGTCGAACGGATTTTTAAGCTATTTCTTATGGAATTCTAATTTCATGATTTTAATTTCATTAACGAAAAAACTGCATGGATTTGTATTTATATAAGTACATTTAATTTATTTTATTTCAAGTGCCTCAATTTTAATACCTAGTAATAAGTTATAATACTAAAATCAAATAGACGTTTAACTTTCTTGAATAATAAATCATGTTTCGATATTAGTATGTTCGTATTTTTACGTTAATATTTGAGTAATTAATAAAAACGTCTGTCTCCTTTTTTCAGAATGAAGCCGAAAGATTTATACTTTGCCAGAAGCCTTGAAGATACCACTAACGACGACCGAAATGGATATCTGAAGACCGTACTTGTTTGTTTTATAAGCGCCAATAATGTGTTCTTTAATAAATATCGTTGCTTAATTATTATGGAATGAATGAATAAATCTATATTTATTGTTCACGAATTTTAGTTTTTATTTATTGTGCTTATTTTATTTATCGTGATTCATTTTCACTTCAGTAATTTATTTGACCCATTTTAATATAAAATAAACCAAAAATTGTATAGGATAATTAATAATTATATATAGGAAATAGCAAACGTACAAACTTCCATAATTTAGCGGGAAAAAAACAAACTGACATTCTCTATGAAAAATACTTAAAAAATCCCCTGGTACTCTAAGATGGGATTCGAACTAATGACTTTTCGCAATCCGGACGATTGCTGTAACCATTGAGACACTCAGGACCTAACAGGATTGACTGGTTCTTTAGGCACTTGTTATCTTTTCACTACTACAGAGCGTATTTTCATCAATGTTCAGACCCAAACAGGGGCAAAGTGGATTTTTTTTAAATTTTTCATTAGTATAGCGTATATTGTGACTGCAAAATTGATACAATACATATAATAATTAGAACAGCTTTTCATCTTTATCGAAAGTTAAATTATTTGTAAAAATATTTATTTCGGCTGTTTGGGTAGATTACTTGAACATTGATGAAAATACGCTCTGTTTAACTGATTTGTTAACTTGACTCTAACCAAATTTGATCAAGGACAATATTATATTTATAAAATATATGTTTCAAAGTCAAGGAATACCATATAAGAATGGGCCACTTACCTACTTAGCCTACGTGGTCCGAGGGTACTGTGTGCACTGACCTGCTATTCTGGATTTTTAATCTAACCATATGGGACCTTTTGGGCACTGCACAGACTATGAAAAAATATTGTAAGAACTTAAGTAAATTTAGTTTTCCTTATTATTTTTTATATATATTGTAGTTACAGTATTATCTCACTAGGGACTTCTCTTATTATCATGTTTTATTTGTCAAATGGTGTACGTGTAGAATAAATATTCATAAATTAATTAATTAATTTCGTAATTCAAAAAATCTGCCAGTGAGTATTCTTTTATATCATCATCATTAGCTTATCAATGTCCCCACTGCTGGGGCATAGGCCTACTCAATAGATGGAATCAATTATGGAAAATGTACCTTACATGTATGAAAAATGTAGTAGAATCTAAACGTCTTGCAAAAGTACAAACGTTTTCTTTGAAAAACTAGTTCTTTTATTGAATTTGTTTCATAATTACGCCGTCATTTTAGTTTAATATAGATGTTTCACTGCTGTGCTTATTCTGTAATTTCAGATAAAGGCTTCCATTTAAAGGGCCTAAAACAGCGTGATTCTTTGCTTGTGCAAGATTCTACCAATGATCCTCTTAGCAACTTGTTGATCAGCTTGTTCTTGCTTTCTCAATTCAGCATTTTTAGAGATTTTAGTGCGTGACGCCAAATAAAATTTTATTAATTCATAATTATTCATTATTATCGGCAGTTAAGTACATTTTTCGCAAACATTATTTAACGCCCATCGGTTAAGTAATATAGTATCTCGTTAATGGTCACCTATTATGTTATCGTCTAATGAATAATTCTCCATTGTCGGAAATTTTCGAGTTAATACATTTGACTGATTATTATTCTTTAACTTAAAAAGCTAACTTTTCATCCCCCCACTTTACATGTGGGAAGGTAACCGAAAATGTTCTCATGTGGCGGGTCACTAAATCCATCAGTACGGAAGGCCTACCTATATCCCAGCAATAGAAACATTAATTGGCTGGTAATAATAATAAGATTAACGTATATACTCATGCATAAATTACACCTTTCTAATATCAATCGTTTTTGAGCTAAATCGCGGACATACAGACGGACAAGACGAAACCATAAGGTTAGGTAGGTGGTTGACTACGGAACTCGAAAAATGGCAAAATTGAATATAAAAGCAACTTTATTTGATAAACGAAAAAACAAAAGTATCAAACATTAAAAAGCGACAACTAAATGTAAGATTATATTATTTCGGTCCATTAGTAATTCTCCATTAAATTAAGTTATTCGAAAAACCGCAAAAACGAAAACGAAAGCTACTTTGATTGATATAAATCGGAAGAATAAAAACTTCAAACATAAAATTCAAAATCCCGTTTTAAAAGTACAGTGGAGTCTATAAAGTTATCAGTAGCGTCAGCTAACTGTAACATTTTCGTGTACTTAACCAACATAACATGCATTTAATATAAGCAACAACGATTGTACCAATTTAATTATTAAATTTCTTCAGGATAAGATATAAGATAGATAGATATAGACATGTAAGGTATTGCAGCCTTTCTTTTAGAACTTTTTAAGAGGATCAATAATATTCACTGCCACACACATCAGCAACTGCTGACTCAATTGCTTCTGAGCAGACCTCCATGGTATCCTCAGAAGTGCACAACACGCTCGAAGGGAAACAAAACCAACTTGATTACACCCCAAAAGGGGACCACTACTCTGCCTGAGCAAGATTGGACTCTTGTGGGAAGGAAGAGCGGAAAGGTGACACAGGAGGAAACTCCTACTGCCGCTGCTCAAGCTTCCCTAAAGAAGTCCAAGAGGAAGGAGAAGTAGAAAGCAAGGATGCAGCGGCAGAAGCAGCTCAGACGGGAATCCCGAATGACTACATCAGCCAGCAACCGAATTGTCCCGACCACCGGCACGGTACAGGGAACGCAAAGGGTAGCTGACTATGGGAAGCAGGGAAACCTGCCAACACCAAAGCAACCTCAAGTGACACCCACTACCAGCCGGGACAAGGATCCCCGAACGTATGGGGGAGCAAAAGACAACATGTTGTCTGAGCAACCCCAAATGAAACGGGTACCGAGTTAGGAAAAGGATCGCCCACTGCCAAAAGGGAAGGGGAAAGACAAGGAAAGGCGAAGTCTAGCGCCAAGAGGGCACGACTCGACTCGAGGTCTCTCCTAGAGGAGAGCCTAAAAGGCAAAAAACCGAGACGGTAACCGAACCTAACCCCCGCCCCATCTCAAAATCCTATGCCTCAGTTGCATCTGCAGCGACCTCGTCGGATACCCGAATAGCTGTCACGTCGAGCGAAAGATTCATCTTTCGAGCGACGGCGGTGCTGGTCGAGGATAAGATCGAGGAAGCGATAATGCAGATTGCGCAGACCAAAGTACGCCACGAGTGTGCCAAGGTTGCCTTAGTGTTTAGTGGGAAACCACTCTACATAGATGGGTGCCTTGCACGTGTGGAAATCAACACACCACGGAATGGGTCCAACAACAAGTGCGAAGCTTGCCTAAACCTGATGGAGTTGAGCTCGTTGTCCTTCGGGCTGACGAGATCCCCAGAAGGGTCAGGTGCGGTTTCGTACTTCCAAAACTGTGGAAGAGCGACCGGTCAGTACTAGGCAATTGCCTAGCGATCGGGAAACCAGACATCAACACCGAAAGATGGGTACTAAACGGCATCCACTTACAACCCAATTTCGGTACGACTTTCATAAGTCTCTCGATTCCGGAGGTGGACGTGCCAGCGATCCTGGCCAAAGGGCGCAGACTCTGCTTCATCTCAGGGTCTGTGTACCTGAAGTTAAGGGACGCGAAGGGAAAGTACGTCGACAATCCGCCGACAAGCAACCCCGGTGCCGCCCTCTCGGAACAAATGGAGACTACACCGGACATAACACCTGCACCGGCTCCTACACCGGCACCAACACCAGACGCTGGCCCACCACACGCCACAACCTCGTCCACGGCGACTCCGAGCACTGCTGTCCCGGGACCTTCGCAAGAGGCCTCTTCGCCTCTGAGTGAAGGCTGTCTGCTGGGACGCAGCGAGCTCGAGATCGAGGACGTAGACTGCCAGGAAGATGGCGTCCTGCTGTAGTAGAGCTAACCTACTACAAACTAACCTCCACCACAGTATCACCGCAACGGCTCAGCTCCGGAAATGGTTGGAGGTTAACACAACAGCAATCGCGCTGATCCAGGAGCCGTGGATCAATGGTGGCGAAATACGAAGACTCCAATTTGGGAGGTAAGCTTATACAAGCCACTGTTTAACGATGTGAGAGCCTGTATATACACTTCAAAAGATATCAAAACACAGCCTTTAACAAATTTCTGATCTAGAGATCTCTGTGCCACAAGGCTGACCATGAAACATGATAATCATAACTGCGATATGATCCTAGCATCTGCGTACACGCACGAAAGAGAGCGAGCACCACCGAAGGAGGTCGCCTCCCTGGTCCACTTCTGCGCGCAGGAGAACGTGGAACTAATCATCGCAACAGACTCCAACGTTCATCACCCCCTGTGGGGGATGGAGAAAAACAACATCAGAGGTAACCAACTAGTTGAATTCCTTCTGACCACTAACTTACTAATAATAAACAGAGGAAGCGAACCCACCTGTGAGCAAGAACGGTAGCTCAATCATAGACTTGACTCTCGCGACACCAGAGATGGCAAATGCGATATCGGACTGGCATGTATCGAAGGAAGAATCATGCTCTAATCATCGGTGGATTCCTTCAACCTACAGGTACCAATCACAAACCCTGTCGCCAAAAGGTACCCCAAGAAGACTAACAAAAATCTCTACAGCCGTCTAGTGACAAAAAAACAGAGCATGAGCTACGAAAATGGTAGAATTGACACCAAGGACCAAATAGAACAACAGGTAAATATGGTTTCCGAATGCATCCTAGGATGCTATGAAGAAGCCTGCCCTCCCAAACTTCTGCAATCAAACGGGCCGGGTAAACACCATTGGTGGGGTCCTGAACTGGAGAGAAGTTTAACCGAGCCATAAACACCCGAAGCGAAACTGACTGGGACGACTACAAAGCTATCAAAGCTAAGTACAAAAAACGAATTAGATACTGGAAAACAGCCTCCTAGCGTAGTTTCACTGCGGAGATAAATTCCACTCAACAGGCAAATCAGGTAAGGAAAATCTTGGCCAAGCAGGGACCGGGCGCTTTAGGGAATCTTCGGAGACCCGACGGCACGATGACCCAGAATCAGAACGAGACCAACCACATCCTATTACAAACCCATTTCCCAAACTGTCAATCAATTGAACAGGTAGTATGGCGTGACACTACGCCAACACCGACGGAAGGATGCTGGCGCCTGGCCAATGAAATCGTAACGGCTGTGAAGGTGAGATGGGCAATCAATAGTTTCTCACCCTTCAAGGCAGCAGGATGTGATGGCATCTTCCGAGCGCTACTACAATGGAGGGGCGAAGACATAGTCTTAGCACTCACTCGTATACTACAGGCGTGTCTAGCTCACCGATACACGCCGCACAGATGGAGAGAGGTAAAGGTAGTATTCATACCCAAACCGGGGAAATCCCGACTATACTAACCCCAAATCTTTTCGCCCCATCAGTCTAACATCTTTCCTACTCAAGACTCTAGAAAGACTATGCGACAGACATATTCGGAGCGGTGCACTGAGTACTGCTCCGATACATAAACATTAACATGCTTACACAAGGGGCAAATCTACAGAATCGGCCCTCCATCAACTAGTCGGTAAGATAGAAATGGCCTTTCACAATAAATTCATCTGTCTGTGCACTTTCATTGACATTGAAGGCGCCTTCGATAGAACTAACTTCACCAGCATTGAGGAGGCTCTTAAAAGACATGGAGCTAAGCCACAAATTATAGACTGGATCGTAAACATGCTACGCAACAGGATAGTACGGGTAGCAGGTGAGGACATTACAAGAGCACTGGTCGCGCGGGGATGCCCTCAAGGGGGAGTACTCTCGCCGCTACTATGAAACCTGGTGGTCAACGACCTGATTACCCGCCGGAACGCTAGTCATTCTACACCATAGGGTATGCCGATGACATTACAATACTAACTCTAGGCACCCACGCTGGTATAACCTGCAACATCATGCATTCGGCACCATACTACAACTGTCCAAGGAGGTAAAGTACCTAGGTGTAATTCTCGACAGTAAACTAAACTGGAACAGCCACATAGAACAAAAAATCAAGACTGCTAGCGTTGTTTTGTGGCAATGCCGCAGGATGATTGGAAAGCGCTGGGGACTTGCGCCAAAATTGTTTTTGATGAATGAGTGTCACCAGATTCTAAACATGGTAGGGTCACAGAACACAATTACTATCCAATGGATAAAAGGACACAGTGGATCACGTGGGAACGATGCATCTGATGAACTGGCACGAAGGGGATCAGACGCAACACCAATGGGCCCCGAGCCGATAATCCCTATCCCCGTAAGCTGGTTAATTGGTAAGATACGAGACCACTCAGGTAAACTACACCAACAATACTAGCACACCTTGGAGACCTGCAGGCAGGCAAAACTCGCACTACCCCGAGTAAACGCTCGCCTCTCCAAGGCCCTCCTACAGCTAAGTAAACCATTATTGCGCCTGGTAACAGGTGCTATCACCGGTCATGGCAACTTTAACAGGCACCTTTTCAATTTAGGTGTCACTGACAGCCCCTTGTGCAGAGGATGCATGAGGGCAGAACAAACAGCCGCTCACGTTTTGCTGGAATGCAACGGAGTGGCCAATTACCGGGCAAAGCACCTCGGCTCGCCGGGTAACCTCCAGGAGGCCATCGCAAACGTGAAGGCGCTATGAGCGTTTCTGGCAAAGCTGGGTTGGCTGGAGTAGTATCCGGCCACACACCCTCCATACGCAAAACAGCCGCAATCTTGACGGCCGTTGAAAGAAGAAGAAGAAGAAGAAGGGGATCAATATCGTAATATATTCCCTTTATGTACTTTTCACTATTTACACAGCAGAAATATTCTTCTGTTTTTGCAACATTGTTCATTGCTGCTCCACTCTTATTAGTCATAGTGTGATGTTATATAAGCCTTCCTTCATAAATGGACTATTCAATTCGTTTCAGTAGTTCCTGAGATTAGCATGTTCAAACACTTCAGTTTTATAATTAGTATAGATACATGTATGTAATTTTATTTCAATAAAATTGTCTATACAAAATTTCATCATAAGTTATAATAATTAAATTTGAGACTACAAAATCTATGACCTATGACAGTATTAGTCGTACTTTTAGCAAAATAAAGCAAAAATTCAATAAAGTGTAAAACCTATTTATTATGATATCTTACAAAATGTCAAAGTATAGTCAATATTAAGATGTTGCCACTTGACTAATTCCACTTGTGTCTAGAGACATCCGGCTGGAACCAGTGTATGGAAGATCATCTTCATCCAGAGCTTCTTTCATACGTCTCTTATAAATCTCACTATCTGGATTGTTCTCTTGGTTTCTACATCTATCCAATTTCTTCTCTATTAACCGAACCTTTTCTCTTGCTGGACTCTCTACCATCTTAACCATGGAACGTATCTTACGAACAGCTTCTATCAAGATTGCAAGTTTGTCAGGTCCGGCATCTCTGAACAGCATGTCTGTCACATAACTATCTAAGTTCTCTTGCTCTTTGCTCGCTGCATGTAACACAGCAGCAAGGGCAATCTGTGATGGAGCATATAGTAAACAAGCATCTGTCAAAAATACTTTTTCTAGAAATTCATCAATACCACTTCGTAACCTCTCAGGATTAGCAAGAGAACATCGAGTCTTGATATCAATAAGGAAGCCTTCTACAGGCCTGAATGGGTTATGAATTGTCAAATGATAATTTAATTGTTGCATCAATAAAAGTTCATTGTTAAGGATTATATCAGAGGCTTTTTCTCTATCTCCTTTTATATTTGCTACAAACTGTCCTATGGAGACATTAAATTCTTCTACCTTACAAGCTAAATAAACACATGTGGCTAGAATTTCCTTGGGATGATAATCCATTGACGAATTGTACAAATAGAACCTTTTAAAATATTGAAATGATGTACCGACTACACCTTTTGGCATTGGAGGATTAAACCTCTTGCAGAATTCTTTCATATGAAGCTCATATTGCTTTAGTAAAAGCCTTTCTTCGTCAGGTGTAAGGAAGAAATTATATCGTTGGTATTCATCAATGTGGGCGCCGTGTTTCATAATAAACTGTAAATTGTGTTTTTCACGAAGGCACACCAATTCATTTTCATCACCAAAAGTCCAAAACTTTTTTTGAGAACTTGTCGAAAACATTTTGCGTGTAGTTGTTAGTCAAAGTTTCACTATTATAAAACGAAATATTTATCTATCATCAACAATGCAAGTTCAATTCATTTATTGCATTTTTCTTTTATAATATAATGCATTTTTGCCGTAACTTTTTTATCCCACAGGCCAAAGACGAGTAAAACTAGTTTCACATACACAGAATACTTTTACTCCAAGGAGAGTAAGTAATTTAGTCACTTGACATTGGCAGAAGTTTCTTACTTACTCTATGGGCAGAATTGTGCGAAATTTTTGTGAAACGCGCAGGATAGGAATGAACGATACGAGCAAATTTCCCTAATGTATATGTACTTTTACTCTTTAGAGTAAAAACAAGTAAGTACTTACTGGATACTTTTCTTTCGATACCAAGTATTTTGTTATTGATACTTTAACCGAATAACAAGTAGTATTGTGAAGTAAGTTTTTGTATTTGTACTTGGTTGGTCACTCACTGAGGAGAGTAAAACATTCGCGTGCATAACACCATATTTACTCTGTGGTAAGGTGTCTAAGGTCTATCTCATTAAAAAAACGTTTTTAGATCCCAAATTAGTTCCCAAAATCAAACTAGATGTCGCTACGGTACTTTCTTGATTTCTCCATGACAACTTTCCGGTTTTCTAAATAAATTTTTCGAAAAACTATAATAATATTTTATTATGATCACATACACATCATCCACATATTACAAGACTTCACGGTAAATATAGTTGTAATTTTTATCTTAATGAGGAAGTATTTAAAAAATAAAAATTAGTTCTTGAAATCATACTAGATGTCACTCGCGATTTTTGGATTTTGTTTATGATATTCATTCAAATTTTATTTCTGACGTAATAAATGTAAATTGAGTATTTTTGATTAATAAATATGACATCGTTTTGTGTTTTTTATAATATCTCACTTTCAAACTAATTTGAATTTATTTTAATTGTAAGTTTAAGTTGTTTATTATGTTACGTGTAAAGGAACGATGTTTGGTTGATACGTCAACATTAGTGATGAGCCAACTTATTGGTTGCTCGTAACTTTCGTTGAATTCAGGTTTGGAATGGAGAACAAAAATGATGATGAAGATGAAGTGTCATTATGCATCCACAAATCGAATGATATTTACATAAATATCAAAATCAATTCAGTCTAGGCTGTTACATAGTACTTGTAAAAGTCGAAAACTTTACCAATGGTTCGCAAAACTAAGGCGAGAGATCTCGTACTGACAAAAAACGGCAAGAAACTCAGCAAGGGCTGCTTTTTTATTTCAACTAAACAACTCAACTTACTATATTTGAGGGAACGCAACCACCAACGCACACGATACCACCGCAGAGATTTTAAGAGACCATAACTACTCTAGGTACTTAGTAAATAATATATTTCAATAAAACGGATTTCTAGAGTAGGTTGTGTAGGAAGTCAAACTATTATTAACAATATTATTGTAAGAACCAAAAAGCACAAACCCACCGTACGAATTAACTTAACACATAGTTCGACGTCCGCCGTCGACATGAAAGATCAGTAGCAATAGTATAATAACTTTGTGATTTGAAATTTAAAGTTATAACCTTGCTGTTCGTTTAGAGCAGACTTTTCTTGTCTATTGCTGAATGTTTATTAAGATGATTTAATTATGAATATAAGATTTAATATCTGATAATAGTTTTATAATGTCCTAATTTCGAAAGCACAAGTTATTTGCACGTTACACTTTGCACAAACGTCATTTTAGCCAGCAGTTATGTTATTTTGTACGAATGCATAGTATATTTGATACATATCGGGTAAGTTTATAGATAATAAACGAATTTTTTTATAATAATTATCGTTTTTATGACTTTTGTTTTTGATTAATAAACCCTATTCATACATTCACCATACATAATATAAAAATATTATTGAAACTTGATGTAGTTTTGTTGTTGTAAGTTCAACAAACAACTAATAGCAATAAAACTAACTTACCTAGTTGATATTTTTTCAGAACTTTTGTTAAATATTAAAATGAAAAATTCCTAGACCTACAATGACATAAGAACATATTTTATTTATAAAACTATTTGGCGGTAATATAATTGTAAACCGTAGTTAGATGCCACTTTTATATCACAGCATTCAATTGATTTCTATAAATTTAAAAAACCACTGTGCTCACTTCCATTATGTTAGTTTCCATTTTCCTCTATAAAAAAAAATAAATTTATTCAAAGATTACTTTCTATTAATCGAGTTGCGTTTGCATAACTCGAACTAGTTAAATTTCAACTCGATATTAATCCGAGTTATCAGATCCATAACAACACTAACAAATCTATTCTCTTTGGTTTAACGTCATGAATTGACGTTTAGATCCAACAATTTGTGCTGCCATCTAGTGACACAATTTTCTGTAGTTTCTTTATTTTTTTTAAATACTTCCTCATTGCGAACAAACGTCTTGTAAGCACGACAAGATTCATTTAGACAAACATAAAAGCAATATTTTTCACAATTTTTACCGTTGAGATTATGGTTGAGGTGTTTAAGAAACTATTGAAATGAAAATACCAAGTCTTGAACTTCATTTGTTCACAAATTCAAGAAAGTCTTTCTTAAAAAATGAAGTCTTATATGTCACTGCCAAGACACTTAAAAGGGATACCAGTAGAAAATAAGTAAACGAATTCATATTATTAGTTCTATCTTTTGGTAATAATTTAATATTAATGGAGCTAGTCTGATTTATAATATTTCACATTTTTAAAACAATTACCATATAAATACAAGTGTTTCCACTAAGGTTATTTTAGTTAATAAATTTAATAACGATATTTTTTTATAATGGCAAGATATAAGAACGAGACATACGGCCTCTGTTGCAATGTGACTATCTCTCTCGGTTCGGTTTAGCTTCTGTAGAAGAAACAATGAAAATTCCTGTTATATCAGTACTATGTCCATGTTTTCATCACAGAACATAGTATCATTTAATTGGTCTGTGATTAAATCATCGAAGTGTTGACCACAGATTAGTAAGTGTTGACTGATCATATTCGCCCTTTTCGTTCAGATTTTAGGAAATTTGATTTATTTCTCTTTAAAAAATAAACTCGTTGAACTAATTTATAATGTCGAGACCAGGAGAAAGATCAAATCAAGCACAGACTTATAAATTAGTAGTCGTAGGCGGTGGAGGTGTCGGGAAAAGTGCAATCACGATACAATTTATTCAGGTATTTATCTCTGCATGCAGTTATATGTATGTGATAAAAAAGATATCAAGATTTTCTTTGTTTTTCTTATACCCTTCTAACACATGCTCCAGTTTTCTTTAGTTTTCAGCGAAAACCATCATCACACTTATAAATAGTTGGCGTATGATAGCATAATGTCAAGGTCTTACGCATCTCCGCCCACTGTTTATATGCAGCTGGTAAAGGAACCCTATGTTTATGTTCCAGAGCTACTTTGTGACTGATTATGACCCCACTATTGAAGATAGCTATACAAAGCAGTGTGTCATCGATGACATTCCAGCCAAATTAGATAGTAAGTATAGAATTAGAGCCCTAATGTTTTTTTATGTCTAAAATTCAAGGTTTATTGTTGCTATAAAGCCTAAAGTAAAACATTTTAAGATTATAATTTATAGTTATGTTTTAGTGTTGAATTATAGTTCATTTATTATTATAAGGACATATACATCTAGAAGCCATCCTTTATAAACTGTGTTTCTAGTACAAACTAGCATTCCCTGGTGAGTCATAGGTGTCCTTCCAATGTTTTATTTATCCAGTGCTCATTTTTCAAAGAACCTTTTTTGGTATTTTTTTTGTCTTTATTATTTGGAATGAGTCATACACTTCTATATAAAAATTGTTTATATGCAATCAAATTTCGTAATGGAAGGTGACTTATACTATACAATAAGTCACCTTCCATTACATAATGTAATGTGTTGACTGTATGAAGTAAAAATTAATTTTTGCTGAAATTCTTGTCAAGTCTGCTGTTTTTGAATTGAAAAATATTTTCTAACAAAAACCATGCCTTTTAAAAATTGTAAACTGAAACAAAAATAATAAATATCATTTTTATCTTAATTTTGTCAAAATGCAGAATTTTCAACTACTAAATTTTGATGGTATATAAGATATTCATAATATCATATAGAAACAGAATATCATATTATTTTAGGGAAAAATTATGGAAAGGTTATTATTTTTTTTATTGGTAGTTATTATAGTTAATATTAAAAATGGTACAATCAATTTAAAGACACATTTATGTTATTTCATGTGAGGGAAGTCTGCAGTACATCCTACAGGGAGTAAAGAAATTTGAGATTTCTTTTTAAATTTTATTTTGATTTAACAATATTTAATACATTATTACATACAATAATAATTTGATTTAACACACAAGAAGAAATGTGTCAAACAATTACAGGTAAATACCACATGCAGCAATTTTATTTTTACAAAAATATAGAGCATTGGAGTCCATCAATAGATTTGTTTCGTGAATCTCCAACCCTCAAATACTAGTTTACAAACTTTTTCAATTACTATTTACTAAGACTGAGACCACAAACAGAAATGCCACAAAAACTTTATGCATTGCATAATATTTCAAAAGTATGATTTTGTTTTTTCATTTATGCACTCAATCACAGCAAAAATAATATTAAATTTTCTAAAACTATGAGCAATAAAACACTAAAAAGCTACTGGTAACTTGTTACGGTTACTTATACAAGCCATTTCACACTTTTGACACAGAAAAACATGTATCAAACATCATATCAAAGTAGATGAATTTTAAATGATCAATCTTAAAGCACTTTTTTGAGATATTTTTATTTATATTGTAATAAGGATGTTGATTAATTATTGTTTGTATGTCTGTCAGGTAGATTATGAAAGAATATTAAACATCAATTTTTTTATTATGTGCATCACTATCTAATAAATACAAATTTATTTATTGATTAGTTTTGGATACTGCTGGCCAAGAAGAATTCAGTGCGATGCGTGAACAATATATGAGGTCTGGAGAAGGTTTCCTTTTGGTGTTCTCTGTAGCAGATCATGCGAGCTTTGATGAGCTATACAAGTTCCACAAACAGATCCTGCGTGTTAAGGACAGGGATGAATTCCCTATGTTAATGGTTGGGAACAAGGCAGATTTGGAAATGCAAAGAGTGGTAAGCTTACAAATATTGAGTAAACTTTATGATGGTACCAGATTTTTTTACCACTACTCTAACTAATGTATCTTATATGTATGTAATATCCTTGTAACATGTTAGATTTCCACCAGCGGCTTCGCACACTTGTTTTAGTTTCGATGATGATGTGACAGTACATTTATATATAGGGAAAAGTGGGATAAAAAGTAGCCTATATGTTAATTCAGTAGTTTTTTTGTGTAAGAGAGTAACAAATATACATGGGCTAAAATACTTTTTAATGCCTAATCTAAACATACGATTTTAAATTTCTTTTTTTTATAAAAATATTAATATTCTTATTTTTATATGCAGATATAGATACGTTATAGTTCGGTTTATAATGTACCTACCTCTGCAGCGTTAGTTTAAATGAGTTAATTATAGTTATGGTCAACAATATATGAAGGTGTCGGAAAATTAAACAACTGCGTTACATTTTGAATTTATTTTGAATTTTTATTAATCTTGTACAAAGAGAATCACAACGTGTCAGTTTTAAACTGTAACGCTTATAATTAACTTCTTATAAAATTAAATCACAGAAGTTATCAGTTTCATAGAGTATCCTTATTACTTTGGATTGCTGCGTTACCAAAATTTAATTTTATAACATATACTTTTCTATTTATCACAAATAAAAACTTAAAATTAATACCAACTTACAACATAATCTTTAAATTTTGATGAGTAATACGTACGTATGAAATTAAAGCACGTTAAATAATAAGAATCATAGATATATTGAAAATACTATAAAAAATCGGAGGGACACAAAAGTAACGCAGTAGTAAGCCCAGTAACACGGTAGTATTTTCTTACATACAATTCTTGTACATACAATATTTGTACTTTCTATAGAGACCTAGTATAACGATTAAAACATAACAAAATATAACTTCCTATGACTCGATATAAAATAAAGTATCTTCAATGAAATAAATTTAAAAACTCAAAAAATTAAATATCACAAAATCAACCTTAATAACTAATGGAATACTTTCAAATCAGTCCTACTTTTCAAAGACGTTTAATGGCTTATCATAATCAAAGTATATCCTTTTACCTTTTACGACAATTTTAGGATTAGGAACAATTTCTAAGATGTTATCGTAAGGTTCGTAAGAAATATCAGTATCTACTGCTTTGAACCTTTTACCAGTTTTATCTACTGTCTTGTAAAACATAATTTTGACGTCTCCTTCTTCATCAACTTCACTTTTAGCAACACCTAGATAAGTGTAATGTTTATCTTTAACAGAAGACACTTTTACTAAGACATGGACACCGTCTGATATCTTTGTAGGATGAATATTTTCCTTTTCAATTAATTGCCTTTCTTTTATATTAGAAACTGATGGTTGGCTATAGCTGGCTAAGAACTCGTCATCAGAGTTGGAAGGTGTGGAATAAACCGTATTGTAAAATGTTCTTCTAGGTACGGTAATTATATATAAAATATCATCGAGAACTACTTCCTCATCCAATCCATCCAAGAGAATACCTTCTGTAAGTGTGTCAATAACGGGAGCAGGAACAGGGTGATAAGTTTTTGGGCTCATGCATGAGCAAAAACCTCTTTGGCAAAAGCAACTGAGATCTCTATATTGAAGTTCACCGGGATTGTCAGTAAAAACTTGATGTACTAGCATCGTACCTTGAAGTGGTACAAGGTTTTTAGGTAGAGCTTTTTCAATGTTTTGTATGTCACTGTCCGTCACTAAATACAAACGGACCTTGCTTAACTCCTTCAGTGTTTTGGTGAGCGATAACCCTGGTTTTGTAGAGAGCATCTAAAATATACTGCGCATTAGTATGTATCTTGCATAGGCAAATCTCTCTTCCAGAAACTGAAGGTGGCTTTATATAAAATGGGCTGTTTTTAATGAAATACGAATAAGAACATCTCAATTCTGGATTTTCTTTTTTAAAAGAATGAAATAGGTTTTTAATTGTGTCTAGTAAATATCGCTTCTGTATTTTAATTTTATTATAAGTGACAGTTTCCCGTTTTCCAGCCGTAGCTCTAGAAACATCGTCACGAACAAAAAAGCTTTTAATGCTGTTAACCAGATTTTTCTTTGAGGTATTCTGCTGTCGTTTCATCACTTTCATCAGATCAATTCCCAACGTCTCGCGTACAATAGCAATTTTTATTTTAGAGTTAGATAAGCCTTCTCCTTGAAAATTTGTTTTAATGATTGTTTCTCTTTGATTGACTTCAAACTTCTGTAATGGTCTTTGATGGCATTGGATAATGTTGAATACTTATTTTGGTTGAGCTTATTTACTTGTTCCGTGTGTTTGATTGACGTTTTAGCTCTTTGGTATCTCTTTTTATATTTACTACACATTCTTTTCAACTTTTCTATTTCTTCCTGCAATTTCAAATTATTTCTGTACACTACATATCTATCTCTTCGTATTTATTTTCGACCTCTAGACCTCGGAAAACTGGAGTTCCTGACCGCGGGCTCGACGTCGGTGTAATGTCCATAATTTGTTGAGCAGTTTTTTGTCGTTCTCGACGTTTCTTATTTGCAGTTTTCCATTTACGCTTAGCACTCCTATGTTCTCGCTCTGTCATATCTTTGACAAGTTTTTTATTTGCATGGTACCTTTCTTGGTGTTTTTTTATAGCTTCAGCATTTCTCACCGGGTCTAGTTTTAATTTAAGCCTATAGCGACGTTGTTTTTCTGCGTTTGTTAACGCCATTCAGCGCAGAATCTTTTCTCTAAGATAAAAAAGAAACAATATATGAAAATTAAGGCTTAAATAACGTATCACCAACATTGATAAATATATTATTTATTTTTATATGTAGTTAGTCATGTCTTTGTACTGTCAGTGTTAGAATATCTGCACTTTGGTATTTCATTTAGTGATTATTTACAACATAGTCAAATATTCACAACTACGTTACCAATGCAACAACTGCGTTACATTTTCAAGTAACGCAGTGTAGCAGTAACGCAGTTGTAAATATTTGACTATGTTGTATATAATCACTAAATGAAATAACAAAGTGCATATATTCTAACACTGACAGATCCAATACATGACAAACTACATATAAAACAAATATTATGTAAATATTGTCAATACGTACCTTTCGATAGTGGTAACTCAGCGGCCACGCAATAAATACACGCACCTCTCCCGACGACTCCGACGCGACTGATCTGACGAGCGTCCTCTTCCCCCGCGGTTGCCATCGTTCATTATACGAGTTACAATATGTAAAGCCGAATAAAGTGCAAAAAAGGGTAATACACTCACTTAAAGGTTTATTTTCAGATAGCAACGCAAGGTAGTTACGATTTTAGTATTTGTTAGAGACACAGTCAAAATAATTTTTTACTCCAATAATTATTTGTGTAAAAAATATTTATTGGCATTATAAATAAGGTTTAGGGTTTAAATTTTTAAAGCGGAATTCATTATGAATCGCCACCTAGGAAATATTGTGGAAAAAATCCATAGAAGCTTGAGACATGTGCTCAAGGACAACTGTATTTTGTATGAAGAACAAATGCGTTACTAAGAATGACAACATTGTTACTATATTTTTTGTTATAATGATGTATTTTTACTGGTCAAATCTTGTGTTCTGTATTAAACAATAATGTAATATTTTAAAATTAGCATACTTATTTTACACTTTTGTAGTGTTTTACCGTAAAATTCAACGTTAGTTCAAAGGGACAGGTTTTTAGGCATAAAAAAGTATTTTGGCCCACATACTTACTCACAAACTTTCTCATTCATAATATTAATAGGATTTAATATTGATAATATTAAAATGTTAATATTGGGATATGAAATTATAATTATAATATTGCATAGTACATTATGCATGACTGAATATGGGTGTAGATAGTAAACAAAAATAAATATTTTTTTTTCTGGTAGTGTTTAATATACTATTATATTTATAATATTGCTTAAATTTATTATGAAAACACAAATATTTCATATTCATTGTCACGTGATTGATTTTAAGATGAACTGAAACATGATTTTCATATTTTAACTTATTATATTAAATATCTTTTTTGATATATTTCATGTATAAGTATAAAATAAAAATATAAAAAAGTTATCTACACCCCTTTTGTAGTAATGGAGTAATTATAAATTTGGATGTATGTTGTGCCTTTCACAGTCTCCACACTTTATTTTTTGTTTTATTGATGTAGTGGGCTGAGGAATTTATGAATGTTGAATTAATTAAAACTATGAGTGGTTAAGTGAAGGTCCAGTTGCATAATGTTTTCTATGGCATAATCTTACTGAACGATTGTTTTAGTTTTTTCTACTATTATGTATTTTATACTAATTTTAAAATGGCGAAACATGATAATACATATCTAATTTAAATAGATATGTATTATCATGTTTCGCCATTATAAAGCTATAGTAAAATTATGGCAAACTATTAGCCTTAAATTTTTTTCGCTGCAGCTTAAAGCTTAAACTGAACTGAAATGAAGACTTATAAATAGAGCCCAAGTTTCATTATTATTATTCATCATGCACCGTTCATAGAATTACAAAATAAACAGTTACGTCATGTGAAACCAAATACGAAAGTATGTAGGTTTATTAGAAACACATGTTGTGTTTGCTAAAAGGGCTACAACTTTAAAACTTAAGGTCGAACGAATTTATCTGAATGGAACGCGCCGGAAGAGATACGAAATAAAGGAATTTTACTATTCTTTGTATATCTACTATAGAATCACGTGATTCGTAGATTTTAGTAAACTAGTAAATCTTGGAATATATCAACATGAATTGGTAAATGTAAAAAATATTAAAAAAAACGACATTTGGTATATGTTAGTATTGAAAATAAAACATGCGAGTATATTTTAATCTTAAATTTTAATTACCTATCACTCAAACCTTGCGTAATATTAATTGTCATTATGATTTTTTTTTTTATTGTCGCGTCCTATATTATACGTATAAATTTCCACCTGAATCACTATACATTGGTGAAAACCGCATTAAAATCCATTGTGTAGTTTAAAAGATCTTAACATACAGACAGCGGGAAGCGATTTTGTTTTGTATTATGTATATATTAAACAGATGAAAACTTAATACAAATAATAAATGGATTATCTAATTGTTTCAGGTTTCACTTGAAGAAGCGCAGGCCCTCTCAAGACAGTTGAAAGTGCCCTACATAGAATGCAGTGCTAAGGCCCGAATGAATGTCGATCAGGTAAATCTCACTTGTTTTATGCCATCCTAATCTTTTTCTGGTTTTCCAAAGGTTGACTGGTAGAGATTGCAATAATTCCACCTTTTGTAACCTTTATTCGCTAGACAATAAAGTGTGATACATAAATAAATAATCTTCTTTCATAAAATAAAATAACAATTTTATGGTTATAATCATAGATACAATATACACTTGGTGCACATTATTAGCTCCTTTTTAGTTAATAAATTTTGGGTACTTAAAGCTTTTTCTTGGGCTAGCTTCTTTCATAAATACCATATAAAATGTTGACTATTTTTATCGTCAACATTTTATATGGTATTCATGACACAAATGAATTTAATGTACTCTTCTCCTCTCATTTAAAAAAACTCCTTTCTGCTTTTGTTTTATTAAAAAGCTTGCAGACAACGGCTTCGCGTGGGGTCTAGGTAACTGTTTAGTGAAATAAAAAGTACGACTGGGTGAATAATAGGAAGTTCTATTTAGTCCGTCAGTCAGATAATAAAAAAGTATTAGATACTTTTTTTTTCTGCAATTTAAACGAGAAGTGGCTTTGATAATTGACAGTAAAATTGAAGAGTGAGAGCTCGCCACAGTTTTGTAGAAAATGTACAAACGCATGACGTCGTGCGACATTTCAACTCGATGTATCGCCGTAATTTATTTATTACGCAAAAAAAAAATCCTTTTTTAGTATTTTTCATTAATCTATCTGACTGACAAAAACAAACAAATTGTCCGTATACCAAATTTCATCAAAATTATTTCAACAGTTTTTGCGTGAAAGACTACATTGACACGCCCTTCATCATTATCGATGCTATATCGTTAAATCTTAATTGCTAATAATCGATTGAAAAGTTCTGTAGCCGAGTGGCTCCCACGCCGGTGTCGAGATGCCTTTATCTCAGATCACGATTTCGATTTCCGGTCGGTTATATTATCTCGGGTACGAGTGTTGAAATAATCCATAATACGAGTACCTATTAATTATATAATTTAAAAAAGTTTTGAGGTTGAAGAACAAATCGAATATTAATTCAAATTATAATTTAAAATTGCCTCTTTTATTTAATTTAGGCATTCCACGAGTTGGTTCGTCTCGTGCGTCGGTTCCAAGAGGCCGAGAGGATACACGTCAAATCTGAGTACAGGAGCGGTAAAAAGAAGAACTGCGCCATCTTGTAACAGGCGGTGACGTTATAACGCACATCCGAAATCTAACACCTCAGCTATCTCGTTCGCTCGTCTGCAATCGTCCGATGAGAGAACTAGACAGTAAGTAGTTGTGTAAAACGTTACTATTCACGGAAGGCTGCCTTGACATATTGAAATTCTAAATATAAAGTAATAGATGTTTTCTTTTATACATTTTATAGGAACGTCTTTGTATAGAATTTATGTACATAATCACAATATTGCAATCGATAATTCTATATAATAAGAATATGTAAGTAAAATTATTCATTGATTTATGTAAGAAACTGCTGTAAAAGATTTCAAGGCAGCTATGTTTAAGTATGTAATTTATATTGGAACATGTCTAAAGAGGATAAATATATAGAAATTGAGGATGATTAAATACAAATGAACAACGACAACTCTGACAGGAAACTATTTTGTTTTTTTTATAGAAAAAAATATTATGAGATTTAATGAGCATTATTCAAAGGACCAAAAGGATAATTTTGCACTGCTACCTCTCGTTTTAATCACACCACTCCCTTAAATGTTTTCAGATTTTACATTTTATTTTTTATATATTTTTAAGCCTTATGTGATGAGGTATTTATTTATAAGCTATTATTGTGTTTAATTATGTGTCTTTCTGAGTAATAAATAAAATCCGTAACTCTTAAATTTTACTCTTAAACACACGTAAATAGGTAACGTGGGTTATAGTAGTGTATTTATAATAAAAAAAAATACAAATTACTAGCAGGTTAAATGATTATGTTTACAGTATCAACCTTAATAAATAATAAAATGTCACATAAATGTAGGTAGAGCAGAAAATTCAGAAAATAGAACATAATAATTGGACTAAGATTGCACTTTCGATTTACTCAAATTGACACCTTATTATTAAATATGTAAACCACCAAAAGGAACGAGTATAATCCGATTATAGTGACGTGACGTTCTATATTCGTTGTCGATTTGATGTTAGTTCTTAATAATCCCAATACAATTTGTTATGTAAATAAAAAAATACCATATTTAAATTATTTAAAGCTAATTTGTTTACAATCTTATTTAGACCCGACGTGTCTTTTTCTATAATCAAATCATGTAAGCTAAATTTCACCCACTTCCCAGTCTCTATTTGCGATATTTGTTCTGATAACAATGCAGTTATCTATAAATCGGTATTATTACTAATCCAAAATGGCCACTATAACATTATGGCGGCGTTCATGTGTCAGAATAACCCACACAATGTGTATATAAAAAAGGGTTTAATTTGTAGAATACAATATCCCAAATATTTTTTTTAAAACTAGATTTGTTAAACAAAAATTACTTATTTTAAATACTTAATTTTACTTTCATATCTAATAAAATGATTTAACTGAGTGAAAATTTATTTACTAAATTATTAAAATTGTTTTTGATTTGAACCATCCATTTTTGAAAATATTTAAATATTTGTATACAAGTCATGTGCTTTATTTAAATAAGGACATAGGGGATATGCATTTTTTTATCGCGCAATAACATGTAGTGATGTGACATATTCGAATAAATAAAATTAGCAAAAAACTTATCAAATATAATTACCGACATATGAATGTTTATAATACTTGGGATATTCTGGACTGTGACGTCAAAATCTAATGAACCGTAAGAAGCCTATACAGTGACGGGTTCGATGCTTGGGTGGATGAATGAAAGGCTAACTAAGCTTGATAACTTTATTTTATTATACGGTTATAAGAAAAGGGCAAAGAAAAACTATAACAAACAAAAATAATATAAAAATAGTTCGTATGATTACCTAAATATTAATTACAATTGTTAAATAGAACAAATACATACCCCCTTTTTTGGGTTTACTGTAATAGACAAACTTGGACGATATTTCACGAAGATATACTTTTAGATTAACAATTTTCTTGTTTAAATTATGATAACTTAATTATTATAAAATTTTATATTTAAATTTGTATGATTACATTATCATGTTCACACCAGATGAAGTTTTTAGGAACTGACATTCATGAAGAGCATATTGGATTAGTCATAATTTCAAATTACGAAAAGTCAATAATAAAAAAAATATGTTGAATATCAAATACAAAAAGTTTGCATGCGGAAACCTAGGACGAAATAAACGGTGGTACGGCACACCGTTACAATACCAAAACCAAAAAATATTATCTCGAGCTACTCTGTACTCTGTAAGGCAAGTTAAGCCGGTCCCAACTGCATTTGCAATCGTTAATATCTTCCAATCCGCATTGAGCCAGCGTGGAGGGTCATGGCCCATCCACCTTAAAAATCCATAAAGAACGCCTGAGGTCCTGCAGAGGGGACGTATCGATGATGAATATCTCCTATTTTTATTTAAAAAATTACAAATCACGCATGATGCATATACCCTATTATCATTGTTCTTGATTAAATTAAGCACTGTATACGTGGTAAACATTTGTTGAGCAGCTAATCAAAATAGTTTCCGCTCGTCGAGCAAAAAATATTTTAACGCTCGGTGATCAACTCCGTAACATTTTGACAGCAAATCGCAACAGGTTGCTGCAACTTGAAAACAGGGATTTAATGAGTATTTTTCTTGTATTGATGTTAAAGGTTATTGAAGTACAGTCAGCATCGCGTGCAGGTTATAAAAATACTCAAATTCCTCAATTTTACTTAAAAATTTAATACGTTGAAAGTAGAGTTCAAATTGAAAATCGTTTGTAAATTACATGGTAACCTTCTTATGCTGCGTGTTCTTTACAGCAATAAAATAGCCTACTGTTTATATAATTTTTTATAATATTTAGTTTACTATTTATTTATTTTTAGCACAATTAAACTTTGGTGCTAAATGCTTGTGGTCATTTTGTTATATAAATATGTAAACTTTACCTAACTTTACAAATAACCAGTGGTCGGAATTAGGTAGAGTTATTCATGTACTTACACTGATTTCATACAGCGAAAGAATAAAGTGGATATGCCTCAAATCCCGAGATTAATTTTAAAGAGCAGAAAAAATCCCATGATTTTTTAAATAAAAAGTTATTTACTTTTGCACAATTTAAACTACTGCACGCACGACGTTGCCAAACTTACATCAATGACATCGGATGTCCAAAGTTGCAAAATACCAATACGCGCGATGTTGCCACGAAGGTCCATATTAATATCAACATTTCGAAGCAAGTACATAAATAACTCTACCTAATTCCGACCTCTGCAAATAACACACATATTAAGAAGCTTATTTATCAAAATGACTATACGTCAAAATATTATTAGTCTATTTATCGAAGTATTGTCATAAGTATCAAATAGGATATAATCCTTTTGCATTAGAGATGTACCGAGTACTAGGGCGACTCACTCGGTTAAGTTATGCAAATTTCAGACGCTATATATAATAAAATACTCCATATACGTCTATTTCATAGTAGAAACATTTTGTGTATAGGCGATTAAACTGAATAATCGTTTTTTTAATTGAGTTATTTTACCGATTACGAGTGCTTAAACGTGTAACCGAGTACTCCGCACATCTCTACACTTAAGAGCATAATAATCAAGTCACATTAATGTTCTATGTATTATTAATAAATATATCTAGGATAACAAAAAATACCTGTACAATATGTATTTTGTTTTAAACATATACATGTTTAATCTCAAAGCAAATAATCATGTCCAATTTCGACCTAAAAATCTTACTAACGCGTCTAATAATGTGATGTATCTCAAAATGTAGCTTATTTCTTAGTTATTTTGTATCAGGGAATTAAATCTTAGTCTCGTCAGATAATAGAAAAAAATATTAGAAATTAATTTATTTTTGCTTCAATTTAAACAAGAAATGGCTTAGATTATATGAATCTTCGTGGCCTCCAAATGGAAAAATGATAAGTAGAGACAAGCATTAAAAAAACATGTGATCGGTCATTCAATGTATGGAAAGTGGACATGGTTCTTTAGGCAATATTCAGAAGAGGTGAAAAAAAATTAAAACATTTAAAAAATAATAATAATTTAATTTCTTATTTTAGGTTATTTGAAAGAAGAGAAAGCCTTAATCTGTTGGTATTGCAGTTTAAACTTGCTTGTATAAATTTGTTCTTTTATGATAACCTGATATGTTACTGAGTGTACAATGTACATAATTATAATTTAACAAATACCGAAATTAATATTTGTTAAATGTCAAAGTCTAGAAACCAAATACTAATTTGTATTTACGTTGTTTTTATTTTGTCGGTTAACTTTAGTGTAGCGCTAGATGTATGTGCTTATTATTATTGTTATTATGAGATGTTCTCGTTTGTTTAGAAACCTTGAAACTTTATTTCACCCACCGTTTTATACAATAGTAACTTTCGAACATATATTTAGTTTATTTGAGAGCGTTCACATTATCGTGGCCTATAGAGGTCGATTGCGCTCGTGTAACTGTACAAAACACTAGGAAATCTTGATTACTGCATCATATGTTTTGGTAAATATTACTTTTGCAGGATTGCTCTATTTTGAGCAGGAATTCATATTCCAATTCACACGGCTTATTTTTGGGTGATTCTGACCACAAACTTTTTTGAGGTCTGGATTCGCCCTTGGGTTTACTAATGAATTTGTTTTTTGTAAAATGTGTCTTTCACATTGTATAATGCAATTAACTCGAATCTGGTGCATCTTAAATCTTAATCTTGCATCTTAAAAAAGCAACAATAAAATCGACTAAGAAATATTTAATTCTTAGTTGTCTTACTGTAACTTTTCTGATTAGCTAAAATGTACACGGTGTATACTTCCACAAAAAAATGACCAATATATCCAGGACTTGTGTATGAGGGCTAGGAATACTGGTCATCTTGGCCAACTGGCCAAAAACCATAATACTTGACAGAGTGCTAAGACCCTTACACATGGGATAATTGGCCAAACGATAGAAAGAAAACATGATTTATTACGTGTGTATTATTCTAATGATCAATGTATATAACAATAATAAAATAACTCTGAAACGATATGAAATTGCCGAACTAATAATAAAAAGCTTATTAATATATGAAAGTTATAGATATAATTTAAAATAGAACAACTACAATACATCACATATATATTCTACATAAATGAAAACATTTCATTGATCACTATGAATTTGTTCAACTGAATATTTTATTGGTAGCAATTCTGTTGCACAAACTAAACGAAATTTTAGATTTGATCCAATTAAATTGCGATTTCAATTCTGTAAAAAACAAAATACATGAATATTTGTTAACCACTACGGAATATAGTGAAAATAAAATCGAAATTATTTTTTTTAGTTTATAGAGGTGATGCAACAGAATTGGCATCATTGTATACCCATATACGCTACTAATAGTCTACGAGACTAGTAGGAGATTTTGTACGTAAATTTTAGAAGAGATATGTATATATACATTATAAACTATATATTTTTGTAATGTGGTATTGGTTTTTTAAAAATTTTTTTGCATAACTGAGATATGTTGGCACAATAGTTTTTGATAAAGCGTATACAATTATTTATAGGTAGTTTGTAATGAAACATTTGTTGAGACTCAGTTTATATTATGGACAGACTTTATAATTATATACTTCATAAGTATTAGGTTTTTACCTACGCAATTGCCGTTTAAAGATACGGTAAATGTAAATTGAAAAGAAGAATTTACTAGTTATTTTTAGGTAAAGATCTAAAGGACCATTGCTTACAGAGATAAAAAAATATAAGTTTTTGTATAAATAATAAACATTTATATCGTCTATTTAGGGTTGTTTATTTTATTTATATAAGCGTTTTTACACTTTTCTGTAATCAATCACGCTGGTCAGACTGATCAAGTGTAAAGGAAAAATAACTAATGATATCTAGATGGCGTTATTTTTTTTTGCGCTATCATAATAAAGTCTGTCTGTATATTTTTATGATTTCAAACTACTTTAATAACGTAAGTCAATGTGAAGTTAGTAACAGTATTCTATGTTGTGTTGTGAGTTGCATACATTGTAATGTTTATATTCATATTGTACAGCTTGTAAAATTGTTTTGGGGCGGTGCAACCGTGGACACTGAAACGGCTTTGTTTGAAGAATTGATAAATAAAACAGGTGGTACTATAATTATAGTTTTCTTAACTTGAATCTGTAACACTGCCCGTCACTTGGTGTGACTTAAGCTAGGAATTCACTAGACGGGTATGCCTGCGGGCAAGTCATTACACAGACCTATCGTGACGAAGTCTGGTAGGCATGTCTGCAGACTTAACCGTAGGCATGCCCGTCTAGTAAATTCCCCACTTTACACACGTATCTATGATATTAATTTATAATAATTCGTTGGAGACTGAGCTCTTATAAAGTTGCACTCTTCTCACTATTTTTTTTATAAAAGAGATAAGGCTTTATACCGATTCTCGTGTTAAATTGTATTCTTTGAAACTTTCCAAAATCCGTGTTTTATACGCGAATATTTTTTTATACACATCTATTCATCATTATAAGAGCTCAAACGACACCGTGCAATAAAGTGGAGCTTTAACAATAATCACCGGTAATCTACTAAACTTTCTATTGTTCAGCTTTTTAAGTATATTGTATAATAAACGCATTGTAACAAAACATTATATTTTTATAATTTTCGCAACACTTGCCTGGGATTTATCCAGGTGGCGCCACCTCCAACAATTGTTAAAGAAAAACACAAAATGATTAATAAAATTTCACCAAATTATTTTATTAAAAGATATGGATCAGTATTTTTACTCTCGAACGCAATCGCGATAGATCGACAAAGCAATTGTGTCGCTCCGACCAAATCGGTTCACTAGAATGCTCTGGCACTATTGTACCCAATCAAGAGTAATGCCGATCGGTCGGTTGTAATTTACGTCAAAACTTATTATCTAAAGTCGAGAGAAGTAATGAGGAAATGGCATACGTAGACATTTCTAAATTATGTTCTATAAGTTATAATGTAGAGACAGTACAGTCTAACATCCTAAACAATTTTCATTTTCTGTACAATATAAAGTTTGCACGCTTGCGCCATCTATTTTGTAATTTATACATAGACTAGAGATAAAGATGCTTTCATGCAAAAGCACTAAACAAAAAGATACTGTGGTGACGTACTTTCTATCTGTAACCAATGATTTGTGGAATTTCTACTAGATGTCGCCACCAGTTTAATTATTATATTTTCTGAACGGCGGTGTTAAGATTTTTGCAGATTTCATGACCTCTCTTGGTAAGTGATTGTCGGACATCGCTTCTCGGCCTTTTGGCTAAGATCAAAGTGTAGTATCTGTTCTTTTCAGCTTAATATCTGAAAGTTCCCTCACTGAGGGACCAGTATATTAAACTGATTTTTGAAAATCGACGGGATGTTCGGGGCTCGCTCCACTCCCGTCACGGGTCGGCCCGGCATTGCAGTGCCGCCGGGATCGGCCCACTTATTGACTAAAATTGTCTATGTAGTAGAGATGGGTCGTTGACAGATTTTCCGTCGACGAAACGAAGCCGTTCATGGACCTTGATCAACTAGTTGATTTTAACTATAGTTGACATATAGAACTACGTCAACGGGTACGACGAACTTTGGACGAAGTTTAACGGTTTTAATTGTTTTATTGAACCGTATATCAGTATGTAGAACTAATTAATTAAACCCATGTCTCGAGTATTTTTGTCATATTCGTCCGTGTAGTTAATTTCTCACTTATACATCAGCAGTTGGCAATTATACTTTTTTATTTGATAAATTGGCTTTCAAGTTTCAACTTAGGAAACAGCACAAGTTAAGTTTCATCTAAATCAATTCAACAAGTGCTTTTTTGAAGAGTCATTTAAAAATAAAACTACTTTAAAATTAAAACTCAATGTTAATGTTTCATGGAAAAGGACCCGAAATGTCTAAAATTGAAATCTATCTAAAAAGATATATGCGCGAAAAATACGTTTATTCCTTTAGTCTTGCGCGCGAAAATGCAGGAAAAAAAATTTTTTTTTTCAAATTATCTGTTTTAAAGTAACAAGCTCCTAAAGGATTTGAAGAAATGATGCCAAATTATTTTGATAACTTTGCGTGCAACTTTCGTTGCTTATATAAAATTGAACTTCCGTACTCGACATCTGTTTATCACCCAGCAGAGCGGATCACCTTTCTAGCTAAAGCTCTAAAAACGTTATATTGTTTTCACCGATGAATACACTTTTATAATTCAACATTTTCATTTTCGAAATAACTTTGTCTAAATTCGAAATTTTGTACATTTAGTCGTAGCTTTCGTAATTTAACCAAAAGCATCGATGAAATATATCAATAACAAAACAAGAACATTGTATAAGAGTATTAACATTAAACTTTTCATGAACAACATTCATAAAACTTTTGGCTACTTACTAGCATACTAGTTAACCGGTGAAACAGGTATTGTGAAAATAAAATGCATTTTGATTACGATCTCGTTATATTGAACATAATTTAATAACATTATAAACACTATGTACTGGATACTGCACGCCTAGTTCCTAGCGGCGAGGGCGGATAGGTCTGAGATGCAGCGGTCGAGGGTTTGCTTCTCCTGGTCAGGGGTGATGGCTTGCGTGACGCTGCGCACTATCCAATCTACCATGTGCTTCTGGGACAGACGCCTTTCGAGATTATTCTTCTCCAGCTGATAATCCAAACGTCGTTTTACCTGAAGACAATTATTCGGTTACATCATCATCATCATCATCAGCCTATTAATGTAATAATTATTGAATAATAGTTATAATTATTCAGTTAATTCAGGTACTAAAAGGTAATAAAACATTATTATTATTAATAATAATTTTTTTTTTGCATACATCAACATTTAGTCTGTATGTAAACATTTGCAGTGCATTATTAACATGGTTTAGTGTTGGAGTAAATTTACGTTGAGACTGCACTTAGTATTAGTCAAAATTCATGTTATTAAACAGAGACTTAGCAAAGATTAACCTAGTAAGAGGTTCTTCAGGAATAATATTTACACCTAGAAGTAGTAAGTGTGTTTATTATCTGTATAATATGAATATGGAGTAATACTAAAATTGCAATTTTAGCGTAAATTTGGTCTGACGCTAAACCTTGTTTATTTATAGCACTTTTATAGTTTATATCTGAACTAGGTCGACCTGAATGCAATGGAATAGAATATTGCCGATTAATATGCCTTTCGAAGCAGAGAGATCGAAATTTTGCAAAACTTCACGGTAGCTCATAATCGCTCTTAATATAAATTATAGCTAATGAAGAAGTATTTAAAAAAAAAGTATTAGCTTTTTCTTTTTATTTTGGTACGTTAGGTGTGAATGAACAGTTTAGTTCTTTATTGGAAATCAAAGTACAGTACAATAAGGTACAACTGAATACATTAGTTTCAAAATTAAATTTTGAAGCCGGGCAAATTTAATTTAATGATAATGATTTAAGTATAACACCATAGGGCGATTCACCAATATCCAAGCACCTGCATCCTAACTGATATCTGAATTAGATTATGTATTTTACACCTTATGATCATTGATACAAGATTCACAGTATACTCTGCGCAATCGAAGATTGAGCGTGCGTCATATTAGTTGAAACTTATTGGTCCTCAAGCGTAATGTAAAAACGCTCACTACAAATTCTAGGCTCTAAGTGACGTCACACAATGCTAGGGTAGCGAAAAACATATTGGCCTCTGGGTAATCTCTGTAATATTTTTGTTATTTTTGTGTTTATGTTTATAGCTGTTATAATTAAAGTTGTTATGTTTACTAATCTAATTCCGTTTGTATTTTAGCAAATGTTTGTAATATATTTTCACTACTATTTTCCAGTTTTCAAAGCGTAATTTTGTCTGAATTAGTGCCATAAAATTTACTTCGTAAAATATTTATAAGTTAAAATGGTTTATATATTCCGAACATATAACAAAAACCTGTATTTTCACTTGTAGGACACGAGTCTATTGGCACGTGCGTCTAACCTCGTTATAAGCCTGCATAGCTCTCTCCCTGTAGGCGGCCTCGAGCTGCAGCAGCACATTCTCCTTCTTGGCCTGGATGAGCAGCTCCTGCCCAGCGGCACGCCACTGTGCCTTCTTCTCCTCTTCTATCGATTGCTGTAGACCGTCGATTGTATCCTGACGACCCTGGTTCCATTCCGTTTCAATTGTCTAAAAAGAGAAAAGGCAGAAATTAACAATGTTTTAATGGATCATGAATATGTTGCTAAGATCAGCGATTAAAGCGATTAAATTAAGTAGCTAAAATATTTATTTTGTAGTCTTTTAATAACTCATGACACCCTGTATAGGAAAATTAATTAAAATACTTTTTTTAGTAACAAAGTGGTTCAAGCTTAGAATAGATTACGGGCAGATGTAGTTTCAGCATAGAACATAAACCAATTTAAAAATAAATTGTATAAATTCATGAAACGCAATAACGGAATAACGCAATCTGGATACAAGTCACATCAGTTGTTGCAACTGTCTGCCTGTTTTTAATAATAATAAAAAACCGGGAATCGAATTCAGGACCTCAGATGGCGACACTTTGAAACAGGCATGCAATCACAAAATAGTCATGTCCCCTAGATGGAAGTAATATACTTGAAACTTCCCCGATTTTTTCTTTTATTACTTTTTATAAAATTTATTAATAAGATTGAATAATAGAAAACTAATAGAAGAAAAAAAAAATTGGGGGCGCGCAGAAGAATTAAGTACACCTTTTTGAATGCTGTCTATATTTTTGCAGTGTATGACTTTTTTATTTCAATTATAACAATTACAATAAAACATGTCTGTCACATCGTTACCTATACTATAGTATGAAAATATTTGTGAACCTATTTTTTTTTAACTGTAAGTAGGTATTATAATTATGATTATGGCGCCCGGGGCCACTTGTCCCCCTAGATCTGGCTCTGGTCCTGGTATTGTATATTATAAATGTCCCTCAATTTTACTCACATCAACTTCTTTGTCCAACCAAGCAGCTACACTAGGACCAAATTTCTTGGTGGCAACGTACACCATCAAGAGGAGGGACAACCCCGTGTAGTACTCATGCTCCATCACGTAGATCTCCATGCTGCAGAGGTATGTCGCCAAACCTACTCCAAATGTGTAAGGACCGGTCACACCAGTCTTGCTATGGAAGAACTGGAACCTGGAAAGAAAGTTTATTTTTACTTTTTAAAATAAGCTATAGCTACATTAAGTTACTATGTACCTAAATATTATTTATTTTGTTTATTATATACACCACACATAAGGATAAAAAAGTAATAAATAAACTTCAACATGCATTAAGAATAACAGTACATAATCTTAAATTTACGAAATAGACTTTTTGCGAAATATTGCAATTTTTTTTTCACTCAACACCAGATGTAGTCAAGATTAATTTATAGAACAATAATCCCTTATTTCGAAAGTAAATAGTTCAGCCATTTTGTTTGTGAATTGATGTGTTGTCGACGTGAGCAAATTCCAATATTAATAAAAACTTACTCCACAACATACAAAACAAAACGGTAAGTTACTTTTTTTATATTAAGCAATATTTGATAACGACAATGAATGTCGCGACCGTCGCATTTTTATTTAATTTTGACTCTAAAATGGTTGTTTATGATAAAATGTGTGTGTTGTGAGTAACAAATAGTTAAAGATGGAGCGATGGTATTAATTTTAAGGTAGCAATGGGTCATAGAGCTTTTTTATTATTAACATTCATGTCCCGACCGTCACAGTATTATATACTATACCGTCATGTTTCTAAAAACAAAATATTTGTTTTCTGCAAATATCGCTTAAATGTGATGAGAATACAACTAAAGGAGTGTCTCGCTCGTAGGTTCGATGACTTCCAACCTCCCAAACAAGCCGGCTGCGAAACAGGCTATAGTAGCGAAGACCATATTGGGTAAGACATTGGAGGACCTGAACACCATGCTAGAAGATCTTAATAATGCGTCCCAAAGAGTGGGTCTTAAGATGATCACGGATAATACGAAAATCATCAATGATCAAGACGAAAATCTTATGCCTATGTACATCATCATTTACGGAAGCGAAACGTGATCGTTCACAATGGGTCTCATTAGAAGGTTGAAGGTGACTCAGCGGGCATTGGAGAGGGCAATGATTGGTGTTTTTCTGTATGATCTTATTAGGAATGAAGATATCTGTAGGAGAACCAAAGTAACTTATATTACTCGAAAAATTACTTAGCTGAAATGGCATTGGGTAGGACACATTACAAGAAGAACCGATAGCCGTTTGGGGAAGAAAATTTCTAGACCACGTACCAGACTATGCTCAGTGGAGAAGCCCGACCAGGTGGGTCTACGATCTTATAAAGCTTGCAGAAGCCGCTGGATGCGGGTCAAACAACTCCGATCGGCGGTTGTCTTACGGCTGTTGATGGTTCTTATGTATTATTAATAAGAGTAGAAAACGAGAAAAGAAAGAAATTATAGATATGTCACTGTCTGTTAGGGTCCAGAGGGAGATTCCGAATGTTTAGGAGATGAAGCAAAGTAATTTATGAGTGATCCCAGCAATGCATAATACATAATGATGTCAGAAATAATTAAGGTGCTATTAATGTTTTCAAGGCAGGATAATATTTAAACTACTGCATATAACAGATTATGTACATTTAATGTAGAAAACCATCAACAGAGGTATATAAAAGACATGCATTTTTATTCATTTGTTACTTGTCCTGACTGTCACATTTTTCTAATCAGAAATTGCTAAAAATTATAATTTAAATTCCAATCAGATATTTACATATCAAACGTTTGAACGTTTCAGTATACACACACAGTTATTTGCATTAATAAAATTGATAATTTCTTATGAGTATATAGTTATAAATCTGGAGTTCATTAACAACTGAGAGTCCAGACCATCATAATATTTAATACTTATTTTTCATTGAAAATCATAATCTAAACATGTGAAATTCTGATAAATTAGAGTAAATTTGTGACCTTATTCAATTGGAATATAGCATTTTAACTCATGTTAAAATTACTATATTTGATCAATTTTGCATTTATTATGCCATACTGAAAAATATACGTTACGAAAATTTGCTTTCAAGTGAATTTTTTTTGGCATTTATTTTAATGCATTAAACATTTACAGTCAATCTCAGTTTACATTGGTTACAAGGGTTTAATTGAGTAGGATAAAACTTTACAATATAAATACAATCAGATTTAGGTGTCATCCATTTTTAAGAGATAAATTAGGGGGTGGCCAGTGATTGACCTTGTCTTACTTTTTCGTATAAGGAAAAGAGCTGGAGTCTTGATAGTGTATAGAGAGCAGAAAAACCGACAAAGTATTATTAATAATCCCAAGAAATTATATATATAATTATTTTTGCATAATATTAAGAATTCAATAGGGTTTGACAAGACTGATTGACAGCTGATAACTTATTATATTACAAAGTAACCTAATATAGGAGTTACCATTCTTCAGGGATGAAACCAAGTCTGACTTTTCCTGGCTCGCCTCTTACGGGCCTAGGGAAATTTTTCTCATCGCGTACCCCTGCAACATCAGTGGCAGACCCTCTAGCTACCAGAGCTGTACTTGCAGACTGTCGGGCTGCAGCTGGAATATTGAAATGTGTTTTTAAATACTTGATATTTTATAAAAACTGTGTTCTTTAGCCAGTAACTTTCTTCTTCTTTTATTAATGGCTTATCTGCACGCTTCATATAATTCAAATATCCTGTGATTCAAGCGTTCTTTTTCTTTTTAATCAATGGCATTGCCCTTGTGGATTAAAGCATTGCAGACAATTGACAAAAATGTCAATGTGTTATGTATTTGTCATATGCTTGATGGATGTCATAATGTTCATACAATATACCCTTTCAAATTCAGCTGCAAGAAGGTCGTAAGTTTTTATGTAGCTAACCAGTGAGTTAATGGCAAGTGGTATAAAATTCCTGTATTAGAGATATAACTACAGTGATGGAACTACTTGGAGATATCATTTAGTATGAAGCAATTTATTTTCGGTTAAGTACTCGTTAGGAGCACTGTATTTAATTTAATCAGTCAGTTCACAAGTTTCGGATTAACAAGTGTAAAGAACCTCTGCCATATATCCACTAGTCCATAATATTGTTAATTTTTCGAGAAATCTAAATTAACAGGTCTTCTATCAGTGATTACATAAACTCCATGACAGAGGTTATGATCATTGAAGGTTTTATATACCTTTACACTGCCATTTAGAGAAATATCTTATAAAATACACTTACCTGAACGTAAAGCTACACGAGATAGCATTTTTTCAATCGAATTATTCTATTTATTTCGAATTAACTACAGCCCTCAAAAAAAATCACTTTAATAGTGGTGTACTAAAAGTCAATCAACTGACTGTTAGAAATTGAATAGTAAAGTATGTGAACTATATACCGATATAAGAATTTATAATATCGATTATTATAATTAAAAAATGTAAACATCTATGTCTAGTAAAATATTTCAATAGTATTTTATCAAAGTTACAAGTTACTTATTGTATTATTTTAACATACTGATATAAGACTCAAAACTATAAAAGTATCACAGACAGACGAAATACAACTGTCCGTTGGTTAGAAAGAATGAGATGGTCATGGTACACTATATTTCGCCCTCTACTACATTATAGTGTCGGGAACACCCCAACACAACATTTATGAGTCGCTGGCTCAAATCTGTCTAGAAGGACCATGTAGAGCCGTAGGTAAAGCGTAAAACAGATTGGTTACTTGTTTGCTAAACAAATCGGTGCGGCTATAAATAATACTGACATTACACAATTGGGTGGAAACATCCCTGCGTACACAGACTTAGATGTAAGATGTAACTTAGATGTAAATAAAAAAACATTTTCGTGTGTTATTTAAGGTATATACCCATTTAGATTGTATTATTATTAATCAGAAACTGACTCTTTTTTTTAAACTGTTACTTCTTCCTTGTTTCATAAAACCGACTATCTATTGATACTTAACTTCAACTTCCAGTTAATTTGATTTGTTTTATCTATCTATTCGCGTAAGGTATATCTTTGTTCTGTGAGAGATACAATTTGTCGATATTATAAACGTCTTTTTTCTCCTCGTGAAAAAAGACTTGTTATTATACACAGAAATTCAATACCCCCTCTGTAATCGGGTAACGAAAACAGTACAAAATAAATCATTAAACAAGCAAATAATCATATCATATTTTTCGAATCGGAAAACTTTTTGAAAACTGTTATATAAATAAATAATAATAATAATATAATAATAATAATGTCTTTATTTGCAATAAATAGGGTTATATATACAGTTATGATATTTCAGTTTAAGAGTTTTGACCTATTTAGCCATCTTGAACAGCATGCAAAAAATAATAATAATAATACCTAATAATAATAATAAAATTGATGAAACTTAAAATATTTTATAATTACATAAAATTGTGTCAAATTTAACAATAATAGTATTTAATCAAAATATTACAATTGTGTCAAAACGTTATTAATCATGTCAATTTTATCAAATTGTACAAAAAAAGCTCATTGTGAACCCAAAACTATTTTTAAAATTTAACTATTTGTAAATACCGCGTATTCGGCGACTCAGAGGCCGTTACGTCATTTGTTGGATAAGCAAAAGGAAATTTCAGTGAAAGCAAATGAATTATTGTCTGCAGGACTTATATTTAAGTGACGTTTTTATAAAGTGGCATTTTGACTGATGTTTCATTTGGTTACGGGTAACTACAAAATTTGGAAAAAAATATTTATTTATTGATTTAAAAATATTAATAATTGTGTTAAAAATAAAAGTGGCTTGAGAATGTCTTGGTTTTAAAATCAGAGTTCTAGGCACGTTTTATGATTCAACAGGTGTAATCAAAGTTTTGCAATAGGTAAGAATAACTAAAGCAGTGAAAACACAAATATTAAATTCGTTTGTTAACACGCGTTGTGTTGCGGCCATATACAGCGTGTTTGGTAATACCTGTATAATCCCGGTATGATGAATAGAACCCAGAAAAATGATCACTACGTCTGAAACCCAGCACATGACCTAGATATTTAGCTTTTTTTCTTCGAAGTAAAACTATACGCTGACAACCCTAAAAAACAGCTGTTGTGTTGTATTTGGTCATCGACTTCATGTGCCGAACTATTTTAAAAGATAACAGAAGTTAAATAAATCTAAAGATAAATGCCTAGATTATTTCAAAAACAAAGAAAAAGTTAGCAGTAAATGACTTTTAACCATAAAAGTACACCAATCTTGTGATTAACGGTGTTTCAAAAACTATTATTAAGAAAACTTCTCTAATAATACAGTCAAAATAAAAAGAAATTGCAAATACTTTGATTGAAGTTAGAAATCTGTACTATTGCTCACATTAGTCTATGCAAGAAGGAGCGACAGACACATAAAATCGACGACGATGTATATTGAGAAACTCGGGTTTCTGATGTGTCAGTAAGGTTCTGTAGATTAATTGCTTTGAAGTTTTGTTATTTTTTTCATAAAGCAGTGATATTTTCACGAAACAATAAAATACGGACTTACACAATGATATTAATAATCTAAATATCTCGCTTGTTCATAGTTTAAATGATAATTAAATAAAGGTCAGTTGTAATGGAAAGGTCTTATAATAAATAATATTTCTTTTCCTTTCTAATTTAATCAATAATTTTTATGCCTTATATTTTTCTTAAATTTATTCTTAAATTAACTTTTAATATTATGGCCCTTTTTTCTTTTGTAACCGTGAAAAGCGTAAATAAAATTGTAATAATAAGTAAATAGCCTAATTATCAATTTCGTCAGTAAAAAATAAATAATATAATAAGTTAATTTGAAATTTCATTGTTTAATTTAATAATAAAATAACTATTTTTTGTTAGGTAGGTTACCTAACACAGAATTTGATGACGCGGAACCCTAAATCGGTGCACTTTTGATTTAGGTACCTACATTGGTGTTCGAGTTGCAATAATTACCTATGTAGTTTTGGTCATTGCTTCAGTCGCGTCCGAGGCTTTCATCGGTACACTTGTGAGTTTTCAGAATTTAAAAGGTCAACTTACGTTTTCGTTCTTTCGGGACTTTTGGTTTTTTTTTCATACTCGTTCTGTTTACCCGTGTGTTGTGTTTGTGTGCGGTCAGTGCAATGAGTTTGTACTCAAATGCCTAATATTACGAGATGATATTGTGCGTTGGTGCTTGTGACGGTAATCTTGCTGCGGCTCGGCGGCTTTATGACGAGCGCTACAATTTTGTAAATGGTCACTCTAAAATATAGAGAATCAAATAATAACACATTTATTATTAATTTATCACAACGATACATCGTATCGTATATGGGCCCTTTTATATAAACAAGCGATAAAAAAAAGAAGACATTTAATTTTTAATGAAAAAAATAAAATTAAAGGGAAACATAGGATAGAAACATATCTTTGGTGGCATATACGGCGTGTATGCCATTGTCTATAAAAGTACATTTCGCAATGATAACTAACGTCAATGTCAAAAGTTGTTGACTAAATTATGGGCGATGTGTTGATTTGATTTGCTCGAATTTTTGTTGTTAATTTGATAAGTGCATGTATGAAGCTTGGAAATAGTTGAATATATCTAGGAACACTTTCTTTCATGATGGGAATTTTTACTTCGTGTTGTAAACCTTCCGCTTCCGATGTTTTGACGCCAGATGTTGTAAGTCGTCTACGTTTTCGAATCTCACTTCCTTTTACACCATTTTATTGAATTAGTCATTATTCTTTTCAACTAATCATTTTGATCTGATTAGGCCTTCTAATCCTTGCCTTTTCTCTAGGTTTTAGATATAAATATTTTGATATATTTAATAATTTGTTTTGTTTTGTTAATGTATCTTTAACAACAACTATAAAACTTATCTATTTGATGTTTTTGGCAACAAAATTGCATTGGGTATTCTAAAAAGTCACAAATTGTACATGATCCTACATATTTGTATTATGGAAATTTGAAACAGCTAGGGTACCATAACACTCAGACTTTAGATAATATTAAAAGGTTTAATTTCTAAATTGACCTGACCTGCAAAAGAACACCAAAATTTATAATTATAATAAAATAAATAGTAATTTTTTGAAAAACATTTTCATGTTCTTATTATTCAATTGCTTTTGCTTTGCTACAAAAACTAATACCTTCTGTCCTTAGTAATAAGATAAATTTAGCACACAGTGACACATCAGGATACTACAATAAGTCAAATTTATACAAATGATTTTAAACTCTACCCTCAAAATTGTTTTTATTTACAATTTCTTTTACATATTATGTACAAATAACTTTTTCATTTCAGGAGACTAGAAGGCGTCAACAAGCTGAGGCAGCAGAGCGCAGGCAGGCAGATCTGTCATCACGAGGGGTGAAGGATCCAGCTAGGGTACAACGTATGCAGCAACGTGCTGAGGAAATGGAAAAAAGGGAGAGGGAACTGCAGAAAGATGGTGGACCCAATTTGAGGGTAATTTGAAAATAGTTTTATGAATTATATATTTTTTGACAATCATATTCATCTGACCTTTATTTTAGTCAAAAATAAGTTATATTGACTTGAAATCTAATTAATAACCATAACAGTTTTAATAAGTTCAGATTGTAATAATATGTATTCTTTTTTTACAGTGGACATCGGAATGAGATTGAAAGAAAGCTCATGGGTTCAAAATAGATGATAAATACAAGTAAAAGGACAGGAATTCATTAATAACAACTAGAATTTCTTTAAAAATTATATGAAAATGAATGCTTTTTTCTAATTATCCAATTGTATGCAAAGAAGTCATTTGGAGCTTTTACAATTTAGGTGCTACATACAATCTTAAATACACTTATCAAGTGTGTATAGCAATATAAACTTTTTTACATGAAAAATGTTGTTATTGAGAAGAAGATATACATATAAAAACAAATTTGCAAACATATTTAAGTCAAATTGCATTTGTTTTAGTTAAAAGTAAGTACTTTTTGTTAAATAATTTAATAAATTTTTATGTTATGTATTGTTAAGCCCTCAAGTTTAAACTTTTTGTTACTTATTTGATTATCTAGTAATAACTTATATACACCTTAAGTCTTAGTAATGATGCAAATCTTTTGTTTCAAATTGTTATGTTGTAATAAGTAATACTTTTTGTTTCCGTTTTTTTTAATTATGGTAATTATTAAATCAAATTAGCTACATTCACTTTAATTGAGTTCTGATATTGTCCTATAAGATAACTTTTGTATGTTTATAATAAGTGGTATTTTTATATTAATGCATAAATAATTATAAATATCTTATAATTGTGGTTGTTAAATGATTATTATTCTAAAGTTATAATTATACTTGAAAAGTAAAAAATAAATCTTATATCTAAGACCAAGGTTCTAAACTTTTCTACTTAATTAATTAATCTAAAAAAAATCTTTCAATAATATATATTTGTTTCATTTGAACAAAACTATAATCTACAATTGAATTAGAACCATAGTCAGCTTAAGAAAATTTCACACATGAAGTTGATTATGGTTTTAACTAGACGAGTAAAGTTTATCTACTGTTTGCATGCATATTATGTTATATCATTTTAAGTAAAACATATTCATGAAATAGAATGGTGTTGTGTTTTCTTCCACTAGCAAATACTAGTTTGCTATCGTCTTGTCAACATTTTAGTAGTTGCCATTTTAGTGACATCAGCGATTGCCACGTGTCAGTAGCAATAATCATAGAGCAGGGTTCGGCAACCTTATTAAAACGGAAGAGCCAAAATCTATAGTTAATAAAATTTTACAGGTCATTCATACAGGGTTAGTTGTATACACGAAAAATTATTGCCTATAATGTTAGTCTGAGCAGAATGTTAGCTAAGTATTTTCGCTAGTTAAGTGTATAACCCTGTATATATTTTTAATCGTGGTTATTACCGTATTTGTTTCTCAGAAAAATAACACGCATGTAATATTGCTCATCAACAGTTATCCTCGTTTATTTCAATTTCAATCCGGCTTTCGTCCTGCAGCACCATGACTGCACTCCTCAAAGTCACTGAGGATGTCAGAATGGGCATGGAGACAGAGCTGGTCACCATTCTTGTTCTTATCGATTTCGGAATAGCTCTTATTGGCTATTCTGAAATCGCTCAATCTTTCGGCTTTGACATTGGATTGGGTCACAAATTATCTTCGTAGTCGCCAGCAAGCTGTGCGTGTGGGCCGCGATATGTCCGGTTGGAAAAATGTGACTGCTGGTGTTCCTCAGGGTGGTAGTTTGTCCCCTCTCCTATTTTCCATTTTTATAAATTTTCTCTCTTGGCCGTTCTTATCATTTTTATGCAGACAATCTTCCGATTTATGTGCAGAAGACCGTCGAAGAGGTTGGTGCAGTGATCTCTAAGCTGAATGGAGCCCTATGTAATATTAGTGCATGGTCAGCTAATTTTGGGATTACTGTAAATCCCTTAAAATGCCAGACAATTATTGTGGGTGGATTGAAACAGATCTCTAAGCTCGATTTCAACCTGCTCCTGTCTGTTGCGTTCGAGAACTCGATTATACCTTTTAGCCCCAGTGTTAAAAATCTTGGTCTCCACATCGACTCCAAGTTCAAATGGACTATGCAAATCGCCGAATTGAGTCGGAACAGTTACCTACTGTCTACGTTCCCTCAACCGTCTCAGGAACTTCCTTCCTATCAAGACGAAGGTCACTCTTGTTCTTCCACTCATTGACTATGCCGATGTCTGTTATCTTGATTTAAATGAAGATCTTCTTAATAAGTTGCACGGCCTTATCAATAATGCTATCCGTTTCATCGTCTGTCTTCGTAAGTTCGACCATGTTTCTTCTTATCGGTTTCAGCTAAAATAGCTTCCTATTCGACAGCGTCGGCATCTGCGGTTGCTTTGTACACTTTATTCTTTCCAATCCTCATACACCAGAGTACTTAAAGTGTAAATTTCAATATCTCTTTGACACTCATGGTCGTCACCTGCGTTCTTCAAACTCTCTCTCACTTTCCACTCCTCTTTTTCACACTGGCTTTATGTCCAACTCATTTACTCTACATTCAATTCGACTGTGGAACAGCCTCCCCGATTCCATCAGGAGATCGCCAAATAAATACATTTTCAAACGAAAGTCCACTCCTTTTTATTTCAAGGCTTGTGAAGATTATCATCATCATCTGTGTGTTGATGTGTGTGTGTATATATATGTAATTATGTGTAATGTTATTTAAATTTTTAGTATATTGTAGTATGTTTATAATTAGTTTAGTATTTGTTGTAGTAGTTTTTTTTATTTTTATAGCTCTGTAGCGCTATCGCATTTGTCTGTTTTCCCAAAAGTTGACTGGCAGAGAATGCTATTAGCATTAAGTCCGCCTTTTGTACCATCTTTATTGGTCAATAAAGTTCAATAAATAAATAATGTTCATTTATTGTAGGGTTTTATCCCGTTGGGTTGATGTAGAAAATATTATTTCTATATTGTTTGAATTTGGGTGTTGTGGTACCTTCGTTGTCTCACACAGTATCTGCTCAAAAAGATTTATTATATCAGTTATAATCATTAACTTTATTCGTAATGCGAAACGAAACGTAATTGTCAAATGTTTGACAATCATCTGATCAGTAATGTCAAATTCCTCGATTTGCTTCTTTTGAAAAGATATTTATTGAATAAAAAATATTATACCGTAAGCTATTAGTGAGTGACGTTAAAACTATGGCTGATAGCAAGGAGTTAGATAAGAAGGTAGGTAACAAATAGAATTATCTCCACTTATAATTCGTATCGCGTAGACACTGCCTATTTGTCAATAAGATATAATCACTGGTGCGCAGCATTTATTTATTTAAACTGACCTTGCCGGTTCTCAAAGGTCAAGTTGACTATATATGCCTGCTATTACGATGAACGGCTCTATATGTAAATGATAAATTATAATTCGCTGTAAAATAGCTATAAGTCATCTATTTATTCTACCAAATTTTCAACAAGTATATCTCATAAAAATGTTTGATTGATTGCAATTGTTAAATAAAGAATAATTTTTTAAATCAATAATAAATTTAGTAGATATATTTCCAAACTCTAGTAAAAAGTAAAATAAACATCCTGCTGGCCGACGTAATACGCCAATTATGGCAATAATTCGAATTGTACTCTCATTAACAGGCGTCATTCCAAAATCACTCCACATGTTACTGTAAAAAACAGATCTACACAAAAATGTATATATTTCACTAGAGAGACCAATTATCAACACTTGCTCCATAGTCAGGCGATTCCTCACATCCACCATACAAACACTCCCAACAGTACACCACAAGCTGACTAACTTGGACTAGCCCATAGTCAGCTCTCACTACCAGCATTTGCTGAGAGAAAAAAACATAATAATAATAATAATGTTTAAATGTCATTACTTACAGTTATTATTTTTAATTATTCATTGTTATTTGGTTTCCTTGTAAAATATATTTAAGTACTTACATAATGTAGTCTGTAAGATTTTACACAACAATCTGTACTTTATATTGATTAATTATATTATAGTGTAGTTTAGTTACTAATATTTGACTGCCAATATTAATAGTGATTACTAACTACTTGATATCGTCTATCCTTTTCTTCCATTGAGTGGCAGCTTATTGTAGTGTTTAACCATAATCTGTAATCCTGTATATTAATTTTTGGATAGGTATGCTAACCTTTTTATAGTATTAAGCAATAACTAACGAATAAATGAAACATCTTACAGACTACTGACAACAGGCTGAGACCAGCGGTAAGCTAACATTGCATCTGATAAAATTAATGTACTACTCATGTGAATTAACATGACACCTAAGCCTATCCTATTTGTGTCAAAACAAAATTTTGTCTATTTACAAAATGTTAATGCTCCAAGTATCCAAATGTATGACGCAAAAGAGGAATTATTGAAAATGACACTCTCTGGTGCACAGATAATCTTCATTGGTATGATTCTAATTTTGTTAAATTTATTTGAATAATTCGAAATTTTTGTTCTAGGTCAAATAAAATAGGCCCTCAGGTGTGATGTTATTTTGTTCGAGTTATACATTATTTAATTCATTTCTTTGTAGAAAAAATTATGTTAACTTTGCATGGATTTGCCTTTTATAAAAAAAATATATATATTCAAATGCTTAACATTTAAGCTTTCCTAATATATTTTTTAGCAATTTGTAAGCTGTTTTTTTCTTTTCTAAAAATGTACCATCTATGTAACAAACACCATATGCACCAACTTAAACATAACATAATAGTAGAGTTAGTTTTTAAAGTCTGTTTCTTATTGATATTCTTATTTAAGTAGTCATTTCGTTATTTGAAAAATGGTGGGTTATGATTTATTAAATTATTTTAGGGCAATCTTGACAAATTGATTGGGCAATAAGACACTGACGTGTCTGTTGACTCAATCCTCAACCTTTTTGTACTTGTAGACTATAGTACTATTTAGGGAAGTAATGTACTCATCGTCCTATTATTGTCCACACTGCTGGGGCATAGGACTTTCCTGTAGATAGAATATTAGAAGGAAAACAAAACGACTGTAGATACTGTCAGGACTAATGCCTTAATTTTTTTTTTAATTTTATGAATGTCTTATATATTTAGTCTATTGTGGCAATATGTAAGTATGTATTGATACAAGTTAGTTGAGTACGGGGTTTATTTCATGATTGATGAAAATAACGAGATTATTTAAATTCTGGCAGCTGCATTAGTCCTTATCTCTTTGATGCAAGGTTTAAGTTCCTACAGTAAGTAGGATGTAGTTGTGTGGTGAACCATTTTTGCAATCCCTGCATGAAGGTGTCTACCTTCATCGGTTCTGATACCACCGCCGGAACAAAGAAGATTCTATGCTATGACGATTGTGTTTCTCCAGTATAATGCTTATTATAAATGAAAACAATATTACTATTAAAGATTTAAGAATAATCATCATTTAATCTATATTAAATATATCATTAAATAAAAATCATTGAAACGAAACCCTCCCTTTCTCTCTCTCAATCTTTTTAAAAATAAGAGATATAATTCTTAAAAATCAACATGACACCTGAAGACGTATTCTGAATGTCCTCGAACGAAAATTCTTATAATTTTGTCAAAATCATATGGTTCAGAATTGGAGAGGCTGGTTAACTGTCATACAGTTCTACTAGTACAGTCTCTACAGCTACTGCCAGTCTCTCGCATATATTATAAAATTGTTCTACTTAGTTTTTTAAATATCTCTGATAATTATCTGTGCATCAGACGTAGTGTTTATCTCTGTTGCATGCATCATAATAATTTAACGAAAAATACGTTTTTTGGAATCGAAAATATTAGCCTTTCGAAAATAGACGAAATTTCGTTTTCAGTGACTTTAGGGGTCATGGCAATTCGAATGAGTAGTACTTATTTTTTTTATGCCCGGTTACATTATTCCAGTCCAGAAATCGAATCAAACGCTGGAATAAAACTAGTGGTTACAGTGTAACGAACGAAAAAACGAGCCCTGGAATATTCGTACTCATGGAAACAGTGTATTCCAGAGTGAGTTGGATTCCTGTGCTGGATTCAGTTGCTAGACTAGATTAACGCATAGAGTATTCTTGCCAGCAAGGGCTTATAATTATAGTGATACACTTTCATAGAAACGAACAGAAAGATACACATACAATATAGATAAATAAAGCTCTCTCATCATATCATCCCACGCAAGTAAGACAAAACCGTAAGGATAGTTTAGGGTAAACACAAAGCACTATTGAAAGTTTTGCAGAATAGATTATCAAATTTAGTCCAATAGAAAGAATTGTCTCGGCAAGTGATTTCAATATACAGTCCAGATTACATCAGTTACTACAAAATCTATTAACAGTTAGGAGGAGGCGTAAAGCCACATGACTGTCCCTGTTTATCGAATTGTACTTGCTAACGTAATAGATATAGACAGAAGAAAATTCACCTTCCATTAAAATATCAGAAATAACAAGACAGATATTTTTCGATTGCACACGACACCACCGCAGAGATTTTTAAGAGAGCGTGACTACTCTAGGTGCTTAATAAGTAATATATTTCAATAAAACTGATTTCTAGAGTGGGAAGTCAATCTATTATTGACATTATTATTGTAAGTACCAAAAAAACACATACCCACCGTACGAATTATCATAACACGTGGCTCGACGTCCGCCGTCGACATGGAAGTTCAGTAGCGATAGTAAATTTCAAAAGTACAAAGACATGTAGATAATAATTGTGCATGTCTTTGTGCTTTTGAAATTTAAAGCTATAACCTTGCTTGTTCATTTCTTGTTCATTGTTGAATTTTTATTAAGATAATTTAATTATCAATATAAGATTTAATAACTGTTAGTTAAAAAAAAATTTAATTTCGAAACGACATAAGTCGTCCTTTTTTTTGCACGTTGTACTTTGCTCAATTTTATTCTTGCTAAAAGTCATGTTATTTTATACGAGAACCGAGTATATATGATATATATTGAGTAACTATATAGATAATAAACGTTTTTTTATCATACTTTTATGACCTTTGTTACTGATTAATAAACCCTATTCATTCATTCACCACACATATTCTAAGGCTATGCTAACATTTGCCAAATAAAAAAAACATTTTATGTAAATTAAACATATGATCGATTGTTTGCTAAAAACAGAAACATAAATTACAGAAAAAAAATCACGAAAGTGTGTCTAAATAGGTTTTTGGGTCGATTTTACGACTAATATATTTCATCCTATTATATAAAAATAAACAGAAATAGATTTAGATAAAATCCAAAGTATACAAAAAACATATATAATCGCCTTTGTTTATTTTTCTGTGATAAAAAATGTATGAAACCAAGCGATCGCGTCTTTACTCTAAATGCGCGTACCTATATACATAGTTTATTTGTTTTAAAATATATTACTGAAAGATCTTTTGAAATATCCTGATGTCCTACTATGTGTAATATCATCAGTTTTAAGCATATTATCGATATACTACTGATATCAATATTATTTAATGCGAATTTTTGATATTGATATGGACAGAGGATGGCGTATGTCGCAACTAAAACTATTTCCATCTTATCTGCCTATTGTAGCCTCATATTTAACGATTTTCCGCATAAAAAGAGTAACTAGAAAAATTTAATACATATGAATTTCATTTGCAGTTTTGCATTTTTTCTATAGAGAAAATTTTCATTTTAAATTCATGATGTAGTTTTCTCGTTTTTAGGGTTGCGTAGTTAACAAGGAACCCTTATATTTTTCGCAATGTCCGTCTGTTCGTCCGTCCGCAGTTTAGCTCAAAAACCATTGGTACTAGAAAGTTTTACGAGTAATTTGGCATGATTAACGTGCAAATACGTTAATGACGCCGACAAAGTGGTAAAGTAATTTTTTTCTGTACTTTCCCTACATGTAATGTAGGGATGATATTTTTCGTCTACCCCCTAGTGCGAGGTATCGTTGGATAGGTCTTTCAAAAACATTGGGGATGTGGGAAGGTCGTTTGTGGATTTAATAAACCGTTTGTGACTCATTAAGCTTTAAATAGCTAATTGTCGTTAGAGTCAAGTGTACATCATAGGCATTAAATTTGAGGAGTGGTGACTAGCTAGGTCAGAACTACGTAAAAATGTACAAAGGTGTGACTTCACGCGACATTTCAACTCAATGTATATTTATTTATTACGCAAGAAATGTGGAAAAAATCACTTGTTTAATATTCTTAAATAAACTATCAGACGGACAGACAAACCGAAATTAGTTATCATTCCTATTATGGTTTAGTCGTTCTCGGATAGTTAGAGGACAGATGCCAGCCCTAGTTACAGTAGCGAGTTCAGCGGGTCGTTTACAGTAACGATAAGGTATCGTAATAACAGTAATAATATCGTAGTTTTATTAGCAGCTCTGTCATCTCGTGTCCAGTCAGTTTATGTCCGAGAACAGTGGCGTTGCGCATGCGCAGCTCTCATTTGTGCACTAGTGATATTGTGATTCTGTAACGAGCCATGGATATCTTATGCAAGGTACTTTGTTCTAACACTTAAAAGCAGTTTCCATATGCGATAACATTTGGTATTATTTATGTATCTATGAAAGTACCCCTCTAATAAGCTACGTTCGTTTTGGCTGAGACAGTTGTGCGTCTTAATAATAAGAGGTACAGTTAAAAGGTAAACTAACTTTGTATATAATTATTTCAACTAAGGAAAACTCCATCATATGGTGCTATAATTTACTCGGGGAACTCGCGAGAAAACAGCTAGTTCTTAATAATAGTGTTATTCTTATAGTATCGTTACTCTTACTCTGCTAGGTACCAAGGCTTGAAACCGGTTCAAAATAAACCGTTTTAATTTAGGTAAAACCTGTTCACTTGTAATGTTTCCTTCCGGATCGGAACTGAATGCAGAGTGAAATTCGGAGGAAATAAAAACCGGTTAATTCGCTTGGTTCGTAAAGAGAAAAATTCTTACGCTTTTAATGTGAGTATATCATTTTTAAGCCACAGCATTTATTATACCCGTGTACGGATGTTATGGATATGAGTATACGCACTTGAAAACCGCGCTGAAGTTTGTGTGATCATTGCCTGGAGTCATATTTAAACCGGTTAATGAAGAAAACCGTATTTCTAGTTAACCAGTTTAAAAATCGGGTAAAAGGAGCGTAACCGTTTATGTAAAGTTTCACATGTACTTACGTCTAACCGGTTCAAAAAATAAACCAGTT